CTCCGACTTCCCTGTCCTGCGTCTGCACTCTGACAGAGGTGGGGAGTTTTCCTCTGGCCTCTTGGAGGCCTTCTGTCAGCAGGAGGGCATTGAGCAGTCGTTCACACTTCCGGCCTCTCCACAGCAGAATGGGGTTGCTGAGCGCCGCATTGGCTTGGTCATGGAGGTCGCTCGTACCTCCTTGGTTCATGCGGCTGCCCCCCACTTTCTGTGGCCGTTTGCAGTCCGATACGCTGCGCATCAGCTCAACCTCTGGCCCCGTGTCTCCTTACTGGAGACTTCTCCGACACTGTGTTGGACGGGAGAGGCTGGCGATGCGTCGCGTTTTCGGGTCTGGGGATCTCGAGCTTTTGTTCGCGACACGTCCGCGGACAAGCTCTCCCGTCGCGCTGTCCCCTGTGTCTTTCTTGGCTTTGTCCCGGACGCGCCTGGTTGGCAGTTCTACCACGCCACCTCGCGTCGTGTCCTTGCCTCTCAGGACGTCACTTTTGACGAGTCCGTCCCCTACTACCGCCTCTTCCCCTACCGCACTGCCCCGCTCCCCCCCCCGCCTCTCTTCCTCGCTCCAGGTGCTGAGGTACCAGACCCCCTCCCCCCTCAGGGTGCCGCTCCCTCAGGTGTGTCCCAGGTAGACCCGGTTGAGCCTGTCGAGGTAGCTGTTGACTCTCGTCCTGCTGGGGGTACTGAGCCTGCCCGTGAGGAGTCTGGGGGTGCGGAGCCTGGAGGTGCTGAGCCTGGGAGTGCGGAGTCTGGAGGTGCTGCGTCTGGGGGTGCTGCGTCTGGAGGTGCTGAGCCTGGGGGTGCTGAGCCTGACCGTGCTGAGTCTGGGGGTGCGGAGCCTGGGGGTGCGGAGTCTCGAGGTGCTGAGCCTGGGGGTGCTACGTCTGGGGGTGCTGTGTCTGGAGGTGCTGATCCTGAGCGTGCTACACCTGGAGGAGCCCTCTCCTCCCAGCAGCTGCAGGAGAGGTACCTACAGTACTGCCGCCTCCGGAGAGGTGCTACTGGAGCTCGTACCAGTACTTCCCCTCCTACCCAGGAGCTCCCCCCCATTCAGCAGATCCGAGAGTGGTACGCGCGGCGCTGCAGTCTTCGGAGTGGTGCTCCTGGTGCTGCGGACCCCAGCGGTGGCGCTGCTGCTGGTGCTGAGGACCCGGGCGTTGGAGCTACTGCTGGAGCTGAGGACCCGGACGGTGGAGCTGCTGCTGGTGCTGAGGACCCGAGCGGTCGAGCTGCTGCTGGTGCTGAGGACCCGGGCGTTGGAGCTACTGCTGGAGCTGAGGACCCGGACGGTGGAGCTGCTGCTGGTGCTGAGGACCCGAGCGGTCGAGCTGCTGCTGGTGCTGAGGACCTGGACGGTGGAGCTGCTGCTGGTGCTGAGGACCCTGCCGCTGGTGTCGCTGCTGGTTCTGGAGACGCTGCGCGGCCGCGACCGTACTTCGTACCACTTCTTCAGCAGGTTCTTGGTCAGGCTCCTCCTCCTTGTCCTCCTCCCTCCGTAGCGTGTCCTCCGCCTGTCCAGTCGCAGTCCCAGTTCCCGCCTGCCTCGCCTCTCCCTGCTCCCTCTCCTTATACTGGTCCCACAGGAGGTCTTACAGAGCGTCGTGAGCCTGAGTCTCGTCCTGCGTCGCCTGTTCGTACTGCTCGCACTGGTCGTCGTGTCCCACGTGAGCGTCCTCCTCCTGTTCCTGGCACTCACTACATGACTCTGCGTCCCTCCACTGCTCCTCAGCGTGTCCCGCTGCCGTCTCCTCCTGCGTCCTCTCTGCCTACTCTTCCTCCTCCGGAGTCTGACTCCCGTCGTGCTGCCAGTCCCACTGTCACCCGTCTCCTCGCTACTGTTGTCACTGACCCTACCTTTGAGTCCTCTGCTGCGTCTGCTCTGGTCGCTGAGTTGATTGACTTTGCTGCCCGGTGTCGTCTAGACTACGCCACTAGCCTTGTTGCTGAGTCTGAGTCTGAGTGTGTCTGTCCTCCGTCCGTCGGGGGTGAGTGTGCTCTTGGCACGGACGTCCTTGAGGACAGACAGGAGGAGTTCCAGTGCTTTGCTGCTGCTTTACCCCACCTCGTGTCCATGCTAGTTGCCCCTGAGGGAGACCCGGATGCACCAGACATCCCGACCCCGCGCACTTACGCTGAGGCGATGGCGGGTCCCTACTCCTCTCAGTGGCAGACAGCCATGGACGCAGAGATGGCTTCCTGGAAGTCCACAGGCACCTACGTCGACGAGGTTCCCCCACCTGGGGCGAACATCGTCAGTGGCATGTGGATTTTCAGGGTGAAGCGGCCGCCGGGTTCTCCTCCTGTCTTCAAGGCGCGCTACGTGGCTCGAGGCTTCAGTCAGCGAGAGGGAGTTGACTTCTTTCAGACCTTCTCCCCCACCCCGAAGATGACCACTCTTCGGGTGCTGCTGCACATAGCCGCTCAGCGCGACTACGAGCTTCACTCACTTGACTTCAGCACTGCTTTCTTGCAGGGCAGCCTGCACGAAGAGATCTGGCTGCGCCGCCCTCCTGGCTTCACTGGGTCGGTTCCTCCTGGTACCCAGTGGAGGCTTCAGCGGCCGGTCTACGGTCTCCGCCAGGCACCGCGTGAGTGGCACGACACACTGAGGACGACACTGAGTGGCTCTTGGGTTCGCTCCCTCTACTGCTGACCCGTCACTGTTTCTACGCACAGACACCTCACTGCCGCCGTTCTACATCCTCGTGTACGTCGACGACTTGGTCTTTGCCACTGCTGACACCGCGACACTCGCCCACGTGAAGTCGGAGCTGCAGAGGAGACACACGTGCACAGACCTGGGTGAACTGACAAGCTATCTTGGCTTGCGGATCACCCGGGACAGAGCACGGCGCACCATCACCTTGACTCAGTCACACATGGTGCAGCAGATCCTTCAGCGCTTCCGCTTCACGTACTCCTCGCCTCAGTCCACTCCTCTGCCTACCGGTCACTCGCTCTCAACTCTGCCTTCGGATGAGTCCGTAGAGCCGAGTGGCCCGTATCCAGAGCTTGTGGGCTGCCTCATGTACCTGATGACCTGCACTCGACCTGACCTTGCATACCCTCTTAGCATCCTTGCGCGCTATGTCGCTCCTGGCCGTCACAGGAAGGAGCACATGGATGCCGCTAAGAGGGTGTTGCGCTACTTGTGCAGTACGTCGGGCATGGGGCTAGTGCTTGGAGGGCGAGACCGAGTTGTACTTACTAGACACTCAGACGCTTCTTGGGCAGACGACCAGGCTACTCAGCGGTCGTCTCAGGGTTACACCTTCAGCCTTGGCTCCGGCTCAGTTTCTTGGCGTTCTACACGCTCTTCTTCTGTTCTCAGCTCCAGTTGTGAGGCTGAGATCTACGCCACAGCCATGGCTGCCCAGGAGCTACGCTGGCTGACCTACCTGCTGACCGACTTGGGAGAGCGGCCTCGTTCTCCTCCAGTGCTGTACGTCGACAACCAGGCTGCCATTGCCTTGTGTGAGGAGCACAGACTGGAGCACAGAACGAAGCACATCGCCCTGCGGTACTTCCTTGCTCGAGAGCTGCAGCAGCGTGGTCAGCTTCGTCTGCGTTACGTGGCCACTGAGGCCAACCTTGCTGATGTGTTCACCAAGGCGCTTCAGCCTTGTGACCATCAGCGTTTCTGTACTCTTCTAGGCCTTGTGCCTGCTGGACCTCACTTACTTACTTCTTGACTCTGCTTGTACTGTGATCTTTATAGATCTGCCTGCATGTTTACACTTGCTAGGTTGTGATCACTGTATCTCTTGTTATATTATCATCCTGCATGTGAACTGGTCTTGTGACCCCTTGCTCTCCCCCACTTTGCCTATGGGGGTGTGTCAAACATTATATATGTTGTGTTTGTTTAGGCTACAGTGGGTTAGCCTATAGGGGGTACACAATTCTAGGGTTAGGTACTTGTACTGATTTCACTGTTAGTTCAATCATTCCTGTCCGTTCATTCTGACAATACTGACTTTCCGCGTTCTGTTACGGGCTGTACACCGACCCGGCGGATATGGGAACGTATGAAGTGTAGAGATTTTACTGTTGCGAAGTTAAAAACGGTATTCTTCAATGACAGGCTACAGTTTTCCCGCGAGGATTGAGATATTCCAGCCTGGCGACCAAACAGTGCTACATGAAAAACAAAGGCGCCTGCTTGACACAAGGGCCCAATGCAAAGAAGCCAGCCTGGTTCAGTGCATCTTGGACCGTCGGATCCGCCACAGGGAACCGCTGGCAAGACAGCGCGGAGGTAGTTTGTCGTCGAGCAATCCATCTTGGACCTGGATTGAATGCTGCTGCAGCGTGAACCAGGCCTGTCGAAGTTCCTGGGGCTCGTACTTGCGCTCCCCAGCTCCTCCCAATCTAACCCTTGGTTGGGGGTAGGTGAGCGTTTTGGGTCACGGACGCACCCCAAAGTCAGAACTTGAAATCAGGGCATGTTTGAAGTTTGTACTTACACTACATTTTACTATGATACGTGCAGTTATCTACTTATATTAGAAGTCAAGGACACCTAACACTACACATGTCTTAAATAGTCATAAAACCTACCTAACCTGCAATGTTCTTCTTCTCTACTCTAACTACAGATATGGCATGCAGAGCTCAGCTACTCTACTCTAACCCAACATGCAATGCGAGCCTATTTGGCAGGCTTCCTCCCCTTCCTCCCCTTATCCTTAAACAAGGCATAGGCCGCTGCCCAGTCCACCGGGTAGTCTAGCATCTTCACTGTCATCAGCTCCCCCAGCCTAACATCAGTAAGAGCAACACGATCCCACGACTTAATAATGTTTTGGCGGGAAAAGCCCCTCTCACACTCAACAGTGCTGAGGGGCAACACAGAGACCGCACGCCAGAGAGAGACTATGGTGGGATAGTCATCCTTCCAGTCTGCAGTGCGCAGCATGTTGGTGAGAGCCTGATGGAAGGTCTGCTTCTTGAACTTTTTCTCCATTGTGGCTGTGAAGAGGCGCATCTGCGGCTCTATGTCAGCAAGAGCGACACCTGCGAAGGACATATACAAAGTTAGATTATGTCAATGTTGGAGAACAATATGTACAAAGTTAAAACATACGTGGGTTCCTTTCATACTAATCTAGGCTTACCACTGGTTCTTGAACATGTCCAGAAGCTCGGTGAGATGGAGCTTCAACCATGCGTCCTGCTCTCCTGCACGGAAGGGATACTTATCAGGGGTGAAAAACCCCACACCATCGAAATGGCGCAGGTCCGCCATCCTCTTCCCCAGCGCCTTAATCAGGCGCTGTGCGAAACGCCGCGCCAGGTCCTCGCAAGCCTCCAAGTCGCATCCCCCCCCAGGGTTTTCAGGGTCAATGATGTCCTCGTGGAGCTCGATCTCCTCTTTTGCAGCTTTGCCGTTCTCGTCCACTCCCTTGAGCTCCAGCTTGCGCGGCAGCAAGGAACTTGTTCAGGCGAGAGGTGTTCGGCCCGTTGGATGCGCTGGGCTCCACGTAGTACTGCGACAGATTGGTCTTCACTTTGTCGACATGATTCTTCACCTCTGTGATGTCGACCTGAAAGCAAATGGAGCGGGAAATCATTAGAACCAGCACTTAAGACAAGATGCCCCTATGACATGTTCTTGACAATCTTACCGTCTGCTTCTGGAAGGCAAGATTGAGCCCGTTGAGTAGCTGCAGCACGTCAGCGAGCAGGTAAAGCATGTAGTGGAACTTGAAGCTGGTAGCGAGCTTCTCCATCCCGTCCTTCTCCCTCGTCCACATCCACATCAGCACCGGCAGCACGTCGCAGAAGCGGTTCACAGCATCTCCGCGGGACAGCCAACGGACGGTGCAGAAGCCTTGCACCTCCAGGTGCGTCTTCAGAATGACGTCCTGGAGATGCATGTAGGTCTTGTGATCGGTCGATGAACGCCCGAGACGCTCGGCAGTCTGGCGTATCATCTTATCGATGACGTTGAACTCCTTGAAGCTCTTCGCGGCATCCTTTGCAGCCAATGCCTCGCTGCACAAGTACGAAAGGTACGTGAGTATGTATGGCGACAAGGATAAAAAAACATAACAGAACAGTGTAGTGCAACCTTACCGATGCGCCACGCAGTGAACCGCCACCAGCCACGGGCAACGTTTCCGAAGCAGGGCGACAACGCCGTTCTTCTTGCCAGTCATGACGGATGCACCATCCGTTGAAACCCCGACAAGCTTGTCCATCGACATGTCCTTCGACCACAGGCACTTCACGATCGTGTCGTACAGTGCAGCGGCGTCGCAACGCTCGAGCGACAGGAGCGCAAGGAACTGGGACACCACGGCCTCCGCTCTCTCGAACGTGACATACATGATGAGATGCTTTCCGCGGGCGCGATCCGTGGATTCGTCGAAGGAGAGGCTGTACCAGGCCGACTCTTTGACGTCCACGAGCTGCCTGGTCACCAGATGCTCCGCCATAGCCTCTACGAACTCGCCGAAGGCGTATCTGCAATGAGCACCGAATGAACGTTACTTACAATATAACACAAGCACAAGTGCGACAATACAGAGGCAACGAACATAAGAAACAGCAGGACATTAAGAGCCGAAACAGAGGCTAACAATCACTTACCGCGAGTAATAACGCCCGTAGGATTCGCTGTTCGTCAAACGGGGCATCCTTGCTCCGCCATGAACCGCACCAGCATGGGGTAGAGAGCGATCGGTGCATCGTTCCGCGCAACCCACTGAGCTGCTTGCATGCATTTGACGACCCTCGCCATGACTGGATCGCCGCTAAGCATGTTCAAGAGGCTGCGCTGCCTCACCTCCGTGCCAGCAGCGAGTCGTTCTGCTTCCATGGCCGCGAGGTGCACCTTGGACTGGCCATGGTTGCGGCACGCCGACTTCTGAAAATCCCTTGTACCGACGCCAGCACCTCCAAAGGGAGACTTGGTGTTAGGAGCGAACTTACAGCACACGGAACACTCCATACCATATAGGCGCTCTTCTTTGTTGTACTTCAGGCTCAGCCACGAGTACGTCTGCTTCCACGACGTGTTGAAGCGACGTGCCATACCCTTCTCAGCAGCAGGGATCTCGGTGTCCGGGGGTACTTCTACATCCTCCGCGATAGCCTTGTCCTGCGCCTCCAGCTCCTCGGCCGTGGGTGGAGGCGGTACGCTTCGTGCGCGTTTTCGTGACTCTGGTGGCGGACTTGCGAAGCTAAGGTGAACCTGACGATAGCGGGCTGCTGACCTCGGTGTAGTCTGTGACGATGATGCTTGCTGGGCGAAGACCGGGGCCAACTCTGAGATTGCTACGTATAGCATGTCTTCAGCATCAGAGGGTACGTATGGCTCGGTCTCGGTCGTAGTATGAGAGTGAGAGACGTTCGTCATGGGCAAAACTGGTGGAGGGGTTTCACCCTCGCTAGGCTCCATTGTGGGAGTCTGTGGCTGACGAGGAGAACGGGTTAGCTACTCGTAATATAAACCTCGCGTGTGTGAGCTGCGCGACGCGAGGTTTACTCGGCAGAGAGGGTGCGTGGAGGAGAAGTGCCATAGCACGGCACGTACGAGGGTGAAGAGCAGAGAGCTCGGGTGGATGGTACCGTGGTGGTAGGAGGACGGTGGGGAAGAGAAAACATGGCACGGACAAGGGAGGAGAGGAGAGGGAGGTTGGGTGGGTGGTGGTGGTGGATGGCTTGCATGGTGGTGGAGAGGAATCGTGGCTCGCACGAACGAAGGTGGTGTGGTGAGGTGAGGGAGCTGCTACGCTGGAGTGATTCAGTTCCTTTGACGTGCATTGGCTGAGTGTGTTGGATGTCTCTGTGGCCAATCAACTTAGCCAGATTCACCCAAGGTAATCCCATGTGTCACAGTCACAGCTGTAAACTGCGGCCAGCTCGTACTGGACGCTAAGGGAATGTGCGGGTGCTCCTAGGCTGACTGAGACACGCGGATTGGCTACAAAACGCTAAGGGAAAAATCCCCTTGGCGCGCTCTAGTGCAGGCTAAGGAGAAAGAGGGGGGGGAGGGGGGGTTCCCGGGGGGGGGGGGGGGGGGGTCCTACGATCCGAAACCAAAACTTAGATAAAGGGGAAGGCCTGCTTTTGTCCCTTAACGGATCCCGGGAAGGGTCAAACGAAGCACTTAGTGGCACGGGTGGGGAGCGAATCGAAAACTTGACGCATCGGAGCTGGAGCGAAACTAACCCTTAATGTTCAGGGCATTAAGGGCATATGCCCGTCAATCGACAGGCCTGGCGTGAACACCAGACGCCAGCTTTCAAGAGAACGCGTTTCCACGAGACCGATAAAAGAACGCAGGGTACTCAAGGAAATGGTTTATAGGGAGAAGGAAAGAAAAGGTGCATAAACCAAGCCTATAAGCTAGCAAATACCCTGTACAGACAGCTTTACACTGTAAAGTTTAGTCTCTCCACATGACAACCATGCCATCTGACCACTAACATTGCCAAGATTAAAACCCGCGTCTCATATTTACGAGCGTATTACACTTGGTTGGGTTTGAGCACATGGGATTGGTGCACGAGCAACGAAGTTTTGCACGAGAGGAAGGGTGATAGCGACGAAACCAAGAAAACAGTACCCTCAACCCCAAACCTACCACCCTAACCTGTTGACACATCCAAACCAGTGAGAACAGGTTCGTGCCGTATGCGAATCATTGCGACAAACACAGACGACGCAAACACAACACACAAGGACGGGAGTTCACATTCCCCTCCAGCTCCTCGTCAACCACACCTTCCCCTTCCCGTATTAGAATAACGCACCGTTCCTACAGCTCCATCGTCCGTGAAAAGCGCCGCGCACATCTAGCTGTTACGGATAAGTTGCACCACGCTAGTGGAATGGCGGAGCCCACCGATGCCGGCACGGATCGAGCCGCCGAGGAAACCGCGCGTACGTAAATCAAATCGCTCGAATCGCGCATGTGATCACAGACGCCTCGCCCATTGCGCACCGCTCATTGGCCACCACGGTATCGCACTCTCATTATCACCCCTTCGGTTCCCGTCGCCCTCCTTTCCCGTCAACGTCCCTTCCCGTCGCCCTCCTTTCCCGTCAACGTCCCTTCCCGTCGCCCTCCTTTCCCGTCAACGTCCCTTCCCGTCGCCCTCCTTTCCCGTCAACGTCCCTTCCCGTCGCCCTCCTTTCCCGTCAACGTCCCTTCCCGTCGCCCTCCTTTCCCGTCAACGTCCCTTCCCGTCGCCCTCCTTTCCCGTCAACGTCCCTTCCCGTCGCCCTCCTTTCCCGTCAACGTCCCTTCCCGTCGCCCTCCTTTCCCGTCAACGTCCCTTCCCGTCGCCCTCCTTTCCCGTCAACGTCCCTTCCCGTCGCCCTCCTTTCCCGTCAACGTCCCTTCCCGTCGCCCTCCTTTCCCGTCAACGTCCCTTCCCGTCGCCCTCCTTTCCCGTCAACGTCCCTTCCCGTCGCCCTCCTTTCCCGTCAACGTCCCTTCCCGTCGCCCTCCTTTCCCGTCAACGTCCCTTCCCGTCGCCCTCCTTTCCCGTCAACGTCCCTTCCCGTCGCCCTCCTTTCCCGTCAACGTCCCTTCCCGTCGCCCTCCTTTCCCGTCAACGTCCCTTCCCGTCGCCCTCCTTTCCCGTCAACGTCCCTTCCCGTCGCCCTCCTTTCCCGTCAACGTCCCTTCCCGTCGCCCTCCTTTCCCGTCAACGTCCCTTCCCGTCGCCCTCCCTTCCCGTCAATTCTCTCCCCGTCGCCCTCGCGGTCCCCGTCGCCCCTACCGGCCTCCCCGTCACCCTCGCTGTCCCCGTCGCGCACGCTTTCCTCGTCGCGCACGCTTTCCTCGTCGCGCACGCGTTCCTCGTCGCGCACGCTTTCCCCGTCGCCCACGCTATCCCCGTCGCCCTCGATTTTCCCGAACGGTCGCGTTCCCCGTCGCCCTCGCGTTCCCCGTCGCCCTCTCGTTCCCCGTCACCCTCGCTTTCCCCGTCGCGCGCGCATTGGTTGACCAGAACTCGGTAATCTGACTTGACCACTCACCGCTCTAGCATGCCCACTCACCGCTCTAACTTGACCACTCACCGCTCTAACTTGACCACTCACCGCTCTATCTTGCCCACTCACCGCTCTAGCTTGCCCCTTCACCGCCATGACCGCTTGCCCACTCACCGCTCTAACATGACCACTCACCGCTCTAACATGACCACTCACCGCTCTAACTTGACCACTCAACGCTCTAGCTGGCCCACACAACGCTCCAGCTTGCCCACTCACCGCTCTAACTTGACCACTCACCGCTCTAACTTGACCACCCAACACTCTAACTTGACCACTCACCGCTCTAACATGACCACTCACCGCTCCAGCTTGCCCACTCACCGCTCTAACTTGACCACTCACCGCTCTAAATTGACCACTCACCGCTCTAACTTGACCACTCACCGCTCTAGCCAGCACACTCACCGCTCTAGCCAGCCCACTCACCGCTCTAACTTGACCACTCACCGCTCTAACTTGACCACTCACCGCTCTAACTTGACCACTCACCGCTCTAACTTGACCACTCACCGCTCTAGCCAGCACACTCACCGCTCTAGCCAGCCCACTCACCGCTCTAGCTTGCCCACTCACCGCTCTAACTTGACCACTCACAGCTCTAACTTGACCACGCACCGCTCTAGCATGCCCACTCACCGCTCTAACTTGACCACTCACCGCTCTAACTTGACCACTCACCGCTCTAACTTGACCACTCACCGCTCTAACTTGACCACTCACCGCTCTAGCTTGCCCACTCACTGCTCTAGCTTGCCCACTCACTGCTCTAGCTTGCCCCTTCACCGCTCCAGCTTGCCCACTCACCGCTCTAGCTTGACCACTCACCGCTCTAACTTGACCACTCACCGCTCTAACTTGACCACTCACCGCTCTAACTTGACCACTCACCGCTCTAGCCAGCCCACTCACCGCTCTAGCCAGCCCACTCACCGCTCTAGCATGCCCACTCACCACTCTAACTTGACCACTCACAGCTCTAACTTGACCACTCAACGCTCTAGCTGGCCCACTCAACGCTCTAGCATGCCCACCCACCACTCTAACTTGACCACTCACCGCTCTAACTTGACCACTCACCGCTCTAACTTGACCACTCACCGCTCTAACTTGACCACTCACCGCTCTAGCTTGCCCACTCACTGCTCTAGCTTGCCCCTTCACCGCTCCAGCTTGCCCACTCACCGCTCTAGCTTGACCACTCACCGCTCTAACTTGACCACTCACCGCTCTAACTTGACCACTCACCGCTCTAACTTGACCACTCACCGCTCTAGCCAGCCCACTCACCGCTCTAGCCAGCCCACTCACCGCTCTAGCATGCCCACTCACCACTCTAACTTGACCACTCACTGCTCTAGCTTGCCCACTCACCGCTCTTGCTTGCCCCTTCACCGCTCTAGCCAGCCCACTCACCGCTCTAGCTTGCCCACTCACCGCTCTAACTTGACCACACAACGCTCTAACTTGACCACTCACCGCTCTAACTTGACCACTCACCGCTCGAATATTTGAACCTGAAAACATTGGGCAACGTCCATGGTTTTGATTAGACCAATTGTACGAGGTCTACCTTGAACACGAGAACCATGCAGCATAGTTCTTACCGAGAGGGTACTCGTCACGCTCGTTTGAGAGTGCCACGCCCATCATCGCGAGCACCACTAACCCCTTCACGGCTGCGATGTGTCACCTATGTTGAGGAGGGAAAGTAGTGTATAAGGAGTGCATAAGAACACAAATACGATCTGGGATCAATTAGAAACACATGATGACAACAAATGCCCTCACAACACTGACCGAGAGGCAAGTTTCGCCCATGGCGCTGTGTATGCCGGCGTGTGCGGGCCCTTGAGGCAGGAACAGTCGCACCACCAGGACTACTGAACACAAATGTGCTCGAAGGAGTGTCTGGTGAAAAGGGGGAGGTGGTCGGTTGGTCGATTGCTGCTCGTGGTGGCGTAGACGGAACAAGAATGTTTGCTGATGTGGCAAGAAACTCACGATCTCCTTCATGTGGTGTCCCCCCCTCACCGGGCAGGGCGGACACCCCACCTGCCTCCTCCTCTTCCCTCGACACGGTTTGGGGATTCGGTCCCGTTCCCCCCACGTCTGCCACCGGAACCGTCAGCTCCACACCCTCCTCCGTACCCTCCACCCCCTCTTCTCCTTCCTCATCTGCATTTGTGCCCGGGATCCCCTCTCCGCTCTCTCGTAACTTCGCCCAACGCTCTAGAACCTCCTCAACCCAACTCCAATCCATTGGCCCGAGCACCCTGTCCATCTTTCCCCGTTTCACCCGAGTTGCCTTACGTACACGAACCCGCCACTCTTTCACAACCCTATCCACTGTGCTATTCCAATGTAGCACCGTCAAAGCCACCCGGGGCTCCATGCTGCCTAGGAACGCTATGCGCTTCGGCGCATACTTCGTAATCAACGAATGAAACGACTCATTGATCCAATTGCTCGCCCCACGAACGTATGGAGCCATTTGACTCGGGCCACAATGCTCCGCAAGCCATTGCTTGAAAGCTACATGGGTCTCAGAATCAGGTTCGTACAATGCACTTTCCTCGCCCCAACCCACTCCGTCCCGCTCACATCGAGTGTGTAATCCTGCGTAATGGTCGGCACACAGTTCCATCTCAGCAGCTACATCCTCCGGCGACATCCCCTGACCAGCACTGGCTTTAGTTGCACATTGCACCATCACATGGTGGAAATGAATGCCCAAACGCTGAACAACAGACACATACTCTGTGCCCCCGACGTCCTCTCCATCCTCGTCACGTGGTCGTTTTCCAGTCTTCTTTTCCTGCCACCTTTTGCCAGTCCTCCCCATCGCACTTGGCGGAGCAACATTATGAAGCGAGCCACCCTCCCCTCCCACCTCCGCCGCTGCCTCAATGGAGCCCCTCGCATCACCGATCTCCTCTTCGCCTGTATGGTCACTTGGCCACAGGTTAGAGTAGATACATACAAGGTAAAAGTCTAAATTTCAATATTGGCACATATCTCACTGCTTACCACGAGATGCGAACGCGGTGTCGATTAGGTCATCTGCAGAGAACCCCTCACCCAAAAGCTCCACGGCAGACTCGCGGATGTATTCGGTGCAGATGTCCTCACGCGGCGCATGGATGGGATGTGGATCAAACTCAAAAAGCGTATCAACATCAGCCCATTTGATCCCGATAATATCAGCAACCTCCTCCGCCTCCCCTCCCCCTCTGGCCCCATCTGGTGCGTCTTCGTGCGTCTCCTCACGTGACACTCCCACTCTGCTCTCTTGCTCCGCCTCCTCGTTCAACACCTCTACTACACTCCCTTGCTGCGCCTCCTTGGTTAGCACTCCTCCCCCGCTTCTCAGCTCCTGCTGTACATCATCGCCCCCCCCATCATCGGCAGACATCCTCCGACGCTTCACTCGATCTTGTCCCGCTATCCCTCCACCCGCACGCACTTTCAAGACCCGTCGCATTTCGCCGAACTTCCATTTAGGGAGACTCTTTGCCTTCTCATCGAACTCAATCGTTCCCAATTTCCTACAAACCGCTTTGATCATAGTTTTTTTCAATGACTTTGCGGTAACACGGTCACCCGGTTTCCTGTTCAAAGACAACCACTCCCACAACTCCTCGCGCGAAACCGACCACAACTCCGAACAAGTCTTGGCTTGACCCAATTTGATCGTGCTGCGCTGAGCCTCAACAAAGTCTTTTACGAACAACTTGGTAAGAGCACGACACTTGTGCCACACATCCATCTGATGATGGAGCCCAGTGCCAACTAACGCCCTCTTAAATGACGCCCCATCATCCGAAATAATGCCTGTGAATGTAAACCCGAAATCCGTCAAAATCTTCAAACCCTTTACGAATGCAACCCTCTCCAGCGCCGGAGATGACTCTCCCTCTTCTTTTTTTGAAACCGTGACACATAACAGGATTTTGCGAGACCGTGGATCCATGAAAGTGACTGTACACCACTGTGCTTCCCTAGACTGTGACCACCGCCCATCTACACATATGTACTCTTCCCCTTCTTTTCGACGCAACGGCATGTCTCTTCGGACTCTTGCCATGCAGTCCTCGCTGTGCATATTGATTGCCTCCCACAATCCGTACGGACGTCGCATATATCGATAGAATGTCTCTCGCCCCATATCCTTAATACCGAGTGTTCTACTAACCTCACTCATCTGCTGAAAGCCAAGTCCCGCCATAACGAACGCTCCCAAAAACCTCGGTAGCAAAAGAGAGGTTTTGGGGCCTTGCTTGTTCTTACACCTGGTGACTTTACCCCTCTTGGTTGACCAGAACTCGGTAATCCTCGAGCACGAATCACACACCCATACAACACCCATGGTTGCCCATTTGACCTTGCACGCGCGCAGCACCGTCGACCCCCGGCACGAGGCTGCTTGGCAGCATATCATACCCAAGCTAAGGAAGAATTGAAGGAAGTGGATAGGATCAAGTAGGCATACCACTCCCTTGAGTGAGGTTATAGCTGCGTCTGGCGTCAGCTGCCAAGAGCGGCGGAGACCCTTAGGAAGTGTTGAGCCAACCGCCCCTGCACTTGGGCTGTAATGGGGTGGGAGCATGATAGTATGCATGAGGCAAACAATGTTATTCTGGATTTGTCTTGTTCGGACTGAAGTGAGTTAAATTACACTGGACTGAAGGAATAGATGCAATGCAAAACAATCACCTCACCGACATACCTCACATGGGTCTCGTCGTGAACGACTGCGCAGGAGGTGGTTGCACCCCCCCCCACAGCAGTTGGAGTAACATGCAGAGGGACAGTTCTGGTAGATGCGCCGCTCCTCTCTGCTGGGGGGCTGTGAAGGGGTGGGAGATAAACAAAGGGAGATTTTGTGTGATGGTGGGTATCAAATGTAGGGCAAATGATTCCATTTCCGTGAGTGAGCTCCAACACAATACGCAACAAATTGGGCTTCGACGTACCTCAAAAGGGTCTCGTCGTGAGGGGATACGCTGGGGGTGGTTGCTCCAATCCCCACCGTAGTTGCACTGTGACGGGTTGGGGGATGATAGGATGGACGAGGTCATCCTTGTTAGCCATGTGCAGCCGGTTCACGATAGTGATTGTTGGGTGAAACATGATGTACGAGATGGACGTGGGAGACGTACCTCATAACGCTATCGTCTTGTAGGGCCGCACTGGAAGATGTGCCGCGACCGGTGAAAGGATGTGGCTCCGATAATCGCGCTGTTCCCTCATTAGCCCCATCCACCTCCTCTCCCTCCACAATTGTCTCATCTTCCTCCCCCCTCTCGTCGTCAGCCTCGCGGACTGTTGAGATGGTCAGGTATAGAGTGGATAAGGGGATTATATGTTGTTATCGACGCCATAACATTTTCTCTCCCAGAGATTCTATGGTTGCGATTAACCTACCTGACGCAAGTAGCTCTCGATACGCCGGCCCACGACGGTCCCCGCCATGACTGAACCCATCGTCTGGCTCCACCTTTCCGTGCTCGCTGATGTGGACCGTCTTGAACTTGTACGGAAAGCTGGCTCCTAACTGGGGTTCCAGTCCGAGCAGTTGCCCAACCTTTGCATTCGCTCCACGCTGGCTCACACGAAACGCGGATCGCTGTGCGTCCAGGTGCAACTTGACCTGTGACCTCACTAGGTAGGCATTGGTACGGTTGTCTACCATACAAATGGGGTAAAAGGGGCAGAAAATCAAAACGTGTAAAGTACTGTTCGATAATGTGTTCACACCCATAATGCTCGCGTACTAGAGCAGATCTGGTAACTCATAAGCGCACGACCTCAAATAGCTCTTTACTTACTCGCATTCGATGCCGCTGCCTCCACTAGCTTGGTCACGAGCTCCGGTGCAGAAGCAATCAGCAAATGCATCAGCTCGGTGGGAGACGCCTCTCTCTTAAGCAGCGCCGATAAGCCGCACCGCATAATGGCAACCGGGAGGATCACGTGACTCTGTAACGGCATCATTTTTGCTGGATGTTTCCTCATGATGCTATCCAAGTGGCCGAGCAATGCTCTCTCCTCGGGGGTTCGCGGATCATCGTCCATGGTTACACTCCCCCCGCGTCTGTTTAGGGTGGACGGGATGAAGCGGACATGCGAGATATCAAGGCTAGTTAGAGGTTTTTTTCCCTTTACGCGACGTTCTATTATGTATCGCAGCCTTGCTGTTTCATGCGATGAGCAATGGGGTGCACCTGCAAAGGGGACGGGCAGGGCGTGTGTGTGAGGAGGGGACGGGAACGGTAGTGAGGGGGAAGGGGAGGGAACGCGCCGATCAGGGGGATGGATAGTGACGGGGGAATGGGAGTGATAGCGGTGGGGAATGGGGAAGACATCGAAGAGGAAAGGGAGAGATGGCTTAGGGGCAGGGAATTGATTGTGAAGGAGAAGGGGGGGGCGTGATAGTGACGTGGGGAGGGGGACGGGCACGGTAGCAAGGGGGAAGGGGAGGGAACAACCCGAGCAGGGGGGTGTATAGTGACGGGGGAATGGGAGTGCTGGCGGTTGGGTAAGGGGGAGCTGTCGAGGGGGAAAGGGCGAGAGGGCGACGGGGAAGGGGTGTGTTTGCGAAGGGGAAGGTGAGGGCGTGCGTGGGGGGGCCGGGGGGGCGGTCACGCTAGCAGGGGGGACGGGGAAGGAACGCCAATACTATGGAGGTGACGGTGATGGGCGTGGGGAATGGTCGCCAGGGGGAAGGGGAGTGATTGCAAAAGGGACGGGGAGGGCGTGCGTGGGGGGAGGGGACAGGCGCGAGGGGCGGGAATGCGTCCGTGGAGGAAGAGTGATGGCGACGGGGTAGGGGAGTGCTAGCGGTGGGGAAAGGGGGAGCTAAGGAGGGGGAAAGGGAGAGATGGCGACGAGCAGTGGTGAGCACCTGCATAGGGGACGGGCGGGGCGTGCGTGGGGTGAGGGGACAGGCACGGTAGCGGGGGGGAAGGGGGGGGAATGCGCCGATCAGGGGGGTGGATAGTGAAGGGGGAATGGGAAAGGGGGAACTAGCGAGGGGGAAAGGGCGAGATGGGGACGGGGAAGGGGCGTGCTTGCGACGGGGAAGGGGAGGGCGCGCCAAATGGGGAGGGGACCAGCACGGTAGCGGGGGGGGAAGGGGAGGGAATGCGCCGAGCAGTGGTGAGCACCTGCATAGGGGACGGGCAGGGCGTGTGGGGGGAGGAGGGGACAGGCACGGTAGCGGGGGGGAAGGCGAGGGAACGCGTCGAGGAGGAGGAGGGATAGTGAAGGGGGAAGGCAAGGGCGCGCATGGTGGGGGATTGTGCACTCTAGCGAGGGGGAAGAGGAGTTCGCGTGCGACAGCGAAAGCATGTGAGAGTGAGGGTGAAGTGGAATGATTGGGAGGTGAAGGGCAGTAATAGTAACGGGGAGGGAGTGATAGCATCGGGAGAGATGGCGACGGGGAAGGGGAGCACCTGCAAAGGGACGGGCACGCGACGAGGAGGAGTGATTGTGTTTTTCGTAAGTGGAGGTAACGCGACGACGAGGAGGAGTGATGGTGTTTTTCGTAAGGGGAGGTAACGCGACGACGAGGAGGAGTGTTAGTGACTTGGGAAGGGGAGAGAACGCGACGGGGAGTTCGTTCGATAGTCGCGTGGGTAGACGTCCGCGGCCGAATGGGACGGTGATTCGTTTTTTCGCAGTCGAAATAACCGCCGTGCTCAAGGAGGCGACGGTTTCCCCTCCTCTCATCAACTCTGCCGCTTCTTTCCTATAAGCTGCGTAATGTGTTCGTGTAATGCGCATACGTGTCAATGCAAGTGTTTTCCGCGACCGTACCGTTGTTCCCGTCAGCCGGGGTGCTCTTCCCGCCAGCAATGGCGTTGCACTTTACTAGCACGCACGTTCTCGCGCGCTTTCCGCGTCTGCGACCTGAGCACGAACTCCGTTCACGGGGCGCCTCTATGTGGCTTCGCAGATTTTAGCACGGGACGGAGCTACTAAATGGTCTAAAGTAAGCCTGCCACGCTGGGGGAATGTGATAGCGTCACGCGCTTCTTTTGTGTGCTGCTAGAGAGATGTGTCTCCCTGAGAAACGAGCATTGGGTAACTCCGTCTCACATTTGGGCCAACATCATAGACATGCAAATTAGTCTGGTAACCCTATTCGATGGTATGCAAAACCGTCGATACCCCAGTTCTGCTGCGCAAAATTGTCTGGTAGCGCCACTCAAAACACTGTGTAACAGCTGACGCAGCACAGAAAAGGAAGAAATATGGGATTGAATCAGTTACGTTTTCGATTTTGTATCGTGGTTCTTACCGCGTCTTGTTCGGCGCCTAACAAATATTCCTGCCGGCTACTATTTTCCGCTAAATGTGACGAAAAATCCACTGGAATGAAAGGCTACGGGGTCCATTTCGATAACATTAATTTGGACCAATATATTGCTACCGGGAAATGTAGGGGCAGGGCAGAAAAACAATAAAACCCCTAGGGACCTGGACGCATTTCTGGGAGGGATCAACCCTAAACACGGGAAAGGACATTGTTTTTAGGGTTGATGCCTCCCTGACGCATCCCTTTCCGATCGGGTTTTATTTTTTTCTTGGCCCGAAGAAATCACGTCTTAGCGCGAAGGCAAGCGCGGTAAAGATCAAATTTGAATTAAAAACGAACGTGCTTTCAGGGCAGCATATGAATAACTTGCAAACAGAGGTAAGACGGTTTTGCATACCATTGGATAGGGTTACCACACTAATTTGCATGTCTATGATGTTGGCCCCTCACATTTTCTTCAGGTAGGCGGTAATACAGTTGCTTTGCGTGGGGGGGTTTTCGCCGATTCAGTTCGACGTCGCGCAGCCACCGTTTCACCGTGCGTTTTGTCGCACAGGGGTTTTTCGCAACGCTTTTGGTGTGCAGGGTGTTCGGCGGCGGTTGGGCCGTGGCAAGCCTGAAACCGAGCCTGAAGGGTCCTCGCGCAAACCTCGTTCCCAAGTCTTTCTATGGTCCAAGCCAACTTTCTGGTGTTTGGCGACCAAAAGTGGGGTTACCGCGTTTCAAACGTATTACACTTGGTTGGGTTTGTGAAATATGAGACGCGGGTTTTAACAGCAACTGCATTTTTCTCAACAAATTATGCCAAACACCACACCTTCAAAATATTCAAGCAGCAGGCAGGCATCCGTTATCATCTCTCCGACAACCTCGCCGCCACTGTTCTCAGCTTCGAGTACACCTTGCCAGCTGGCGAGCCAAGAATGAGCGAGCAGAGCGCGTCCCGCGCCACTCGAATGTTAGCGTACGCCCCAAGCACGTGGATCTTGGAATCGGCAATCACTATTCGCGTCCGTGTGGCATTCTCAATGGTGAACTTGGTCTTGCCGTTTTTACCCGACAGCCGCCCGATGGCTCTGGATAAGTGCTCTCCTCGTAGCGTTTTCACATCCTGTGAGGCGCCGAGGGGGAGGAAAAGGATGTGGGCGGAGGACGACACAGGAGAAGCATGGGTGACGAGTGTAGTGTAGCAGTTGGGCGGGGGCAATATGAACATGGAGGCAATATTTAATGAGATCAATGCTCTCCGCTTGGTCTTTACCTGTCCTGTTCGGGGGAGAGAGGAAAGAGGAGAGGATGGAGGGAGGAATGGGAAGGGCACAACGCGGATGGGAGCGGAATGAATGATTATCAATGCTGCCGCAATCCATGGATCGCGTCGGAACTCTCAGCAGTTAAGACAGGTACTTTAAACCAAATGGCAGGGAAAGTTACCCTAGAGCATTGACAGGCTTGTTTGTCACCTTCTTCAGCTTTTGAGATAACCCAAAACTCCTCTCACCACTTCACCTCCTCTTACCTTGATCTCAGGAGCCCTCACACCACCACCTCCTCTCACTCCTCCCACCCTCTCCTCATCTCAACCCTCCTCCCACCTTCATTCCCACCCTCCCTCATCTTGATCTCGAATGACTCGATATAGAGGTCATCAATTCGCAGCATGGCGATGGTGACTGTGAGGCTGAACCCCATCATGTACGCAGTCCCCCATCACAAGGTCAGATTTTTGGGACGTCTCGAGTCTCTCTCAACACCTCTTCCCACCTTGATTTCTATTACCCTCTCACCTTTTTCAGCCCCTCCACCCACCCCCTCAACCGCCTCCCACCTTGATCCCCACCCCTTTTTCACCTTGATCTCGAACGACTCAATATAGAGGTCATCAATTCGCACCATGGCGATTTCGTCTGTGAGGCTGAACCCCATCATGTAGGCCGTTACCGAGTCAGCCTTTTGGGACGCCTCACGGCTCACTCTCACCCTCTTCAGCATCTCTTCACACCGTCTCAGCTGCCTTGCACCCTCCTCCGACCCCACCAACCCTCACCTTGATCTCGAACGACTCGATATAGAGGTCATCGATACGCAGCATGGCGATGGCGTCCGTGAGGCTGAACCCCATCATGTAGGCCGTCACGAAGTCGGCGCACTTCTGCAGCGCCGACGGGTCCGCCGTGTCCCTCCGCGTCTTCAGCTCCACCTTGCGCGCCTGGGGGAGGGCGCGCGGAGGGGCGCGCGGAGGCCCAGGGGGGAGAGGTGGAGGGGGGGGGGGGGAGGGTGAGGGAGGAGGGATCAATTTTATTGGGGAGAATAAGTGGAAGGGGAGGGGAGCGACGGGGAAGGACGGGGAGAGGACGGGGAGGCAGGGGGGAGCGGCTGAGGCTGAACCCCATCATGTAGGCCGTCACGAAGTCGGCGCACTTCTGCAGCGCCGACGGGTCCGCCGTGTCCCTCCGCGTCTTCAGCTCCACCTTGCGCGCCTGGCGCACGGCGCGCGGAAGCAGCATGTGGGCGGGGGAGAGGGTGGGGAAGCGGGAGTGGGGAGGACGGGCCGGGGTAGGGTGTGTGGGGCGGATGTGGGGAGGAGGGGAGAGGGAAAGGGAGGCGACGGTGAGGGACGGGGAGGGACGAGGGAGGGACGAGGGAGTGTATATTCATGCGAATGTTGATCATTATTTGATCGAACACCGTAGTGTATATCCGTCCACCACTCCTTACCGCACTCTACCCACCTTGAGGTTCATGCGAATGTCGATCTTCATTCGTTCGAACACCGAAGTGTTTATGTCCATCCACCGCTCCTTTAGCGGAAGACTACCAAGTACAAACAATACCGCGATATTACCAACTCGTTATACGCACTTTAAGGTTCATGCGAATGTCGATCTTCATTTGTTCGAACACCGGAGTGTATATGTCCATCCACCGCTCCTTCAGCGGAGTGTACCGATGCGGCGGCACGGGAATCTTGCGGAACTCGAACTTGCTTCCCCCCATTTCCGCCGCCGTCAGCGCTGTGAATTTCGGCTTCGCCGGCAGCTTTCCCGCCGCCGGCGCATTCGTCGGCGGTGTCGCCGTTTTCGCTGCGTTCTGCGAAGGCGCGTCTACCTCCATTGCGAATTTGAGTCGAGCTGCCCGTCAAACCAGATACGTCTAGATTTGACGGGAAAATAAAGTGACCGTTAACTACAATCGACTAAGGGTCAGAAAAATTCTGACGCGGTGTCGCGAAACTGCACGAAAGGAATAGAACGCCAAGCAGAACGCAACAGGCAGAGGAAAACGAGGGAACCGACGAGAATGCGGGACGCGAGGGTTCGGACGGTGTGGAAGCAAGGCAGCCGACGCTGGAGCGTGGATTGCGGCGGGGGTAAAGGAGAGAAGCGGCGAAACCCTAAAGCAGGGGCAGCCTGGGAAGGGCAGCGAAGAGGAGGGCTTTGGGTAGGGGTAGGAGGTTTTGAAGGGTGGATGGGTTCTTGATGCTTGTTTGTACGCGATATGGTTTTCTTGTTTCGTTAACTCGAGTGTGCCTCGGGACATCAATCAAGCAAAATGAGAGAGCAATTACCAGTATATCTATGAACACTCAAGCAGTTGGATTAGGCCTACCACTTTACACTGCCTGAAATCTAGCACAGGAGCACACAAAAAAAAAATTCCAAGGATTACGAACTGCTTCGATAACAAATTTTAGTCACCAAGCTTCATTACATTTCTTTCTTAACACACAACGCTGTCGCCATCCACAGCCGCCTCAGGAGCAGCAGACGCAATAGAGATAAGCGGCGAACCGGCAGCGAACATGAAAGCCTCCTCTGCTGCCGCCAGACGCGCCCGCCTCTTCTCCCTCTGCTGCCGGAACTTCTCCCGGTTCCTCACCTTCCGGGAATCGGGGTTCTCCTGCTTCTCCTCTGTCGCCGGGTACACACTCACCTGGAGAAAAGGGGAGAGTGAAGGGGACAAAAAATGTCATCTATAGTGCACAGGAAGCATTTCGTTTCTGCTTTCCCCCTCTGCTGGCGAATCTTCTCCCGGTTATTGAGCCTCCAGCTGTCAGAATTCTCCTGCCTATCCTCTGTTGCCGAATGCACACTCACTTAAGTGAATTATGTGCAGGCATGTAAGGTGGATGGGGGGAGGGAGTGGCAGGGGAGTACATGGACAGAATTTGTGGTCTAGTGCATACAGAAGCAGACATCGAATCCAGGAAAACGTTACAGACACTGACAATTTTCTCCCAAAATTTGTCAAGAGTTCACCTCTCTGGTTGGTCCTTTCACGCTCTCTCTGCGCTGCACGCTCTTCCCGCTCTTCCTTCTCTCCCTGCTTTTCCTGCAACCTTGAAACTGCTTCACTCACCTTCTTCCTCTTGTCGGGGCCATACAGCTCGAACTTCACGAGGCCATCCACTAGCGAATACAGAGTGTAGTCCTTGCCCACGCCGACGTTGGTGCCCGCGTGGAACTGCGCACACCAAAAAAAAAATCATAGCAAAAAAAACAGGAAATGAAGCCACGTCGAGAGGGAGACGAACGGTAGCTAACGTAAGACGACGAGACGTTGTAACTGAAGGCTTCAGTTGTGCAGCCTGAGACTAAAGTTGCTGATTCACTCAGTCGGATTGACGTGGATCACGCGGACCATTGGCATTCTCAGGTAGGAACCTTTGGGTCGACCCAAAACGTGCTAAAATCATGCTCTCAGGCAGGATACTATAGATGCGGGAATATTCTTAAGACGTTCATGAATGTACCAATAAACTCAACCCCAATTACACTAAACGAGTGCTATCATGGAATGGAAGGTATTGAACACGCGAAAGGGCATCGCAAATCGTCACTGATGACTAAGGTGCATAAGTAAAGGCATTGCTCGAAGTCGCATCGAGAATGCGGGAAAACCAGTGGTCGCTCTAAGTCACCCCATAAAGCCCTAGAGCACTCCGGCCCGTTGACTCGACATCATTGACTCGGAGTTGAAACGGGCTCGATCAGGAATAAATATACTTGGAAAGGCGGCACGCGAGCCCTAGCTTTCTAAACGGGACACGGGAACTGATACGACGCGAAAATGGCACTAGGTACTCGTTATGAAGCTACCGTGGTATTCTTAAATCCCACTAGCTCGCTATTCGGTAAATCGCGCGAATGCGGTGAAGCGAATGGAGAGCACAGGAGACTTTCGAAAACCCTAATGCTCTAGCCTATCGTCCTAGCGCGCATTTACCGTTGTGCCACGTTGGCGAACGATAATGCTCCCTGCCTTGGCCGGCTGATCGCCGTACACCTTGACGCCTAGCCGCTTAGCCTTGGAGTCGCGACCGTTCTTCGTGCTACCGGACCCCTTCTTGTGCGCAGCCTCGATGGTCAGCGGCGCGCTGCGGGTGGTGGGAGCGAACGAAACCCTAGCGGAGGCGGCGGGGAGAGCCGCGCCGGAGAGAGCGGCGGAGCTGCTCAGAGAGGAAATGCTGAGCTTCTGGAACATGGACGAAACAGCCGCCATGGCTACAGGCTGTGTGGTGTGCGTCTAGAAAGCGAAAAACACGCGTAAATGAGAATGAATGAGGTGTTGGGGAGAAGGGGATTGGGCGAGGAAGACAGGTGAAAGGCAGCACGCGCGGGGGGGTACAGGGGCTGGAGGGGTAGATAGGCAGAGGGGGGAGGCGAGCTGGGGTAGGGGTTGATGAGAGGTGTTGCGAAAAGAAGAGGTTGAATGCAGGCTGATGGGGTAACTTGCTTTGCGAAGAGTCTGCGTGGGATAGACACAGTGAATGAATTTTGCGAAAGTGTTTGTCGAACAGACAAACCTCGCTACACGGCGAAGTTTGGGAAAGGTCTGCCACGTCATTAGGGGGCTGAGGGTGTAACATGGAATCGACAACTGACGTGGCGGCTCTGGGTATGCACACGAAGGCGACGGCCAGTTTCGTGGCAGTGCGGAGGTGGTAACATGTCACACACTGGTTTTTGTTTTGCTCGCTAAACAGACAGTTTCGCAAACAGTTCGCAAACTGTTACTTCTTGTACTTTTTCGCTAAGGCCGGTTCTAGTATGCTCCAACCTCAGCTTCTGTTTTCCTCCCAACCCAAGCTTCCAGCGTTTCCTTCCTGCGCAAGCTGCGGTCCAGCATATTCCATAAATCCGATCGCGATCACCAGTGCTGAGCTAATAGGCGATCCAGAGTCGCAGTGACACTCATTACGCAAGGTATGAGTAGAGACTAACCGAGCGTCGCCGCTTCTGAACGATTGGGCGGATCTCTTTAGAAACGCGTCGATAAGGCAGATAGTCGGGAGTGTTATTTGCTCGCCTGTAACAGCTGCGTTCTTCTTAGAGAAATTTGGGAATCATGCCCGCAGTTACCACATCATTCGCGAGATCACTCGCACCGTCTCGTCTTTCGTCGTTCAGTTCTGCTGAGCTACAAGGCTCCAGCTATGGCAAAATGGAGCTCCCAAGCCTGTGCGACAGGCTCGGCCCGAGCCTAAAACTCAGCCGGAACAATCAAACCGCCAGCAGCAGGGCTGGCAACGAATCGCGCGTCGCGGAGACCTCGAGACTCGCGGTCCGATGCATGGCGCAGCCGCGGCGCGTGCAGATGGTGGCGCAGCAGATCCACCGCGAAGTTGCGTCGATGCTTCTCAACGACACCACGCTGCGCGCCGCCGTCCAACCCGAGCACGCGTTGGGCGCGGATAAAGTAATGTCGGCCATCGCCACGATCAGCGACGTGGAATTATCGGCGGACTTACAGGTGGGTTTGGGGAATTATTGTTCGGTTCCATGCGATCAAACCCCAGTGGCGCGGTGCAACTTGCACCCGAGCACGCGCTGGGCGCCGACAAAGTCATGTCGGTGACGTGGAGCTCTCGGCCGACCTGCAGGTGGGTTTGGGATGTCCACCCACAAGCTCCTTTTGAAGATCCGAGCACGCGCTGGGCGCCGACAAAGTCATGTCAGCCATCGCCACGATCAGCGACGTGGAATTATCGGCGGACTTACAGGTGGATTTGGGGTTGTGCTTTACGCGTGAGTTTTCAAGGCGCCAAACGTGCCGTCAGGGCTGGGGATGACGACGTGACAATAGCGTACCTTCGAATCACCCTTTGAATGACACACCATTCCCCTACCCTGCCCCTTTCACTCCTTTACCTTTCCCTCACCACTCTCACACCCTCAGGTGGCAAGTTGTACGTGTCAGTGTATGGGGACGAGAGAGGGCAAGCGATAGCAATGGAAGGCTGAAAACACGCCCTTGAATCCACACCAACCCCCACTCTGCCCTTATCACGGCCTCTCCTCTCCCTCACCCGCAGGTCGCCAAGGTGTGCGTGTCAGTGTATGGGGACGAGCGAGGGCAGGCGATAGCGATGGAGGGGTTGAGCCGTCAGGGCTGGGCACAAGGTGCGACATAAGCACCCCTTTACACCCCTCATCACCGCCCTACTCTCAGGTGGCGAAGGTGTACGTGTCAGTGTATGGGGATGAGCGGGGGCAGGCGATAGCGATTGAGGTGTTGAGCCGTTGGCGTTGAACCATCAGGGCTACTTACGAGGTGCGACATAAGCACCCCTTTACACCCTCCATCACCTTCCCAAACCACTCTCACACCCTCAGGTGGCGAAGGTGTACGTGTCAGTGTATGGGGACGAGCGAGGGCAGGCGATAGCGATGGAGGGGCTGAGGGCCAAGGCGCAAGAAGATGCAACAAGGTCACACCTTTGAACCACCTAGCACTCCCTACCCATATCACCCCCCCACCCACCACTCTCGCTGTCAGGTGGCGAAGGTGTACGTGTCAGTGTATGGGGATGAGCGGGGGCAGGCGATAGCGATGGAGGGGTTGAGAGCCAAGGCGCCCTACGTGCGGTCAGGGCTGGGCAAGAAGATGCAACAAGGTCACACCTTCGAATCACCCAGCACTCCCCACCCTTCCTTTATCACCCACCTACCCACCACTCCCCTGCCGTCAGGTCGCCAAAGTTTATGTGTCAGTGTATGGGGACGAGAGGGGGCAGGCGATAGCAATGGAGGGTTTGAGGGCCAAGGCGCCCTACGTGCGGTCAGGGCTGGGCAAGAAGATGCGACTGCGGTTCGCCCCTGAAGTGCGGTTCATTCAAGACGACTCCATGGAGCGGGGCAGCAGGGTGAGTTGATGCGATGCCCTCTTTTGTTAGGGTTATTGGTCAGTTAAAGCGCCCTACATGCGGTCAGGGCTGGGCAAGAAAATGCGGCTGTGGTTCGCCCCTGAAGTGAGGTTCATTCAAGACGACTCCACGGGGCAGCAGGGTGAGTTGATGCCACTATGCTGTCCAATCAAGGTTACCCGATGCCAGCTGTCATCTGATGCCAAAATTTACATGATTGCGCTCGCTCAGTATGTGTGATGTGTGCATGAGCATGAGGGGATGGTGAATTTGCAGTGCTTAAGCCACCCATCATGTCATCCCTTCCTTAACCCACCCCACCCCACCCCCACCCCCCCCCCCCCCCCCCCTCAATCCCTCCACCTGAATTCCCCGAATTCTTGTCAATCCTCAAACCCTAAACCCTTTAAAAATCTTGAAACCCCCATTCCCATCAATTCCCGATGCCCACCAATCCCCCAAACGCCCAACCCTCTTAATCCCCCAGCCCCCAAACCCTGAACCCTCCCAATCCCCGGACCTCCAAACCATCCTCTTTCTTTTCTCCCTTTCCTATGCACTAGCCACCCAACCTTTCCTCTTTCCTGACAGAGATATATCTATTCCTACCCACTTGTTGGGCTGCCATCACTTTATCAAATTTCCTCATCTTAACTGCCCCCTCCGTCCTCCCCTCCTGTCCCACCGCCCGCCTTGCTTTCCTGCAGGTGCTTTCCATCCTCTCCCGCCTCAAAGCAGAGCAGCATTTCCTGGGTATACTGACCCTTCATCCCCTCCCTCCCTCCCTCCCTTCTTTCCCACCCTACTCCTGCCCCTCCCTCTCTCCCTACCCTCTGCAGGTACTCTCCATCCTCTCGCGCCTCAAAGCAGAGCAGCAGGCTCGGGAACGCGGCGAGCCTCTCCCGCCGAACCTGTCCCCCGTAGGTTCGGGCGGTTATGACGACGAGGATGAGGAGGAGGAGGAGTTGGGGCGGGCAGTGAAAGCACAGAAAAAGCCGAAGAAAGGGCAGGTGGAGGGGGGAGTGGGGGGGAGAGGAGGGGGGCAGGGGAAGGGGCAGGGGAGAGGGGGGAAGAAGGGCGCGGGGAGGAGGTGGGAGGGAGATGATGGTGTGGAGAGTTCAGATTTTGGGGAGGATGAGAATGTGTTTCTGGTTGAGTGATATGATTTGTGGTTGGTGACGGTGGATTGTGACTGGAGGAAGTGGTTTATCCGGTCCGGTAGATGCAAGAGGTACAGGGTGTATGCTGTTGCAATACACCTGAAGACCCTCCTATCACCTAGTAATGGACCTGTCCAGAACTTGGGTGTTGCTCATATGCTGGTAATATAAATAATCCATCAGCTGTACAAGGAATGATGCACTTGCACTGTACTCCTTTAGCCACATAAACTAATACATCCTCATACTAACAACTACCCAAAACCTAGTGACTGGCTGGCTGGTACCGTACCATGGTAAGCTGCTGCTACGATATGTGTAGCTCTAAATCACCCCTTGCAAATGTCACATCAGCACCACCACACTGATGCATATGCTGCTACGGGTACTAAGGGTACATTCCTGTGTCGACATTTGTGTCCTAGTGTGAAGTTTTCGGTCGATTTCCGCCACGCCACACCTCTACCCATCACTGATGCAAGCACATGCAATCTAGTACCTTGCATCACTCACTTCTCCCTGCTTCTATCGCCCACTCACTTCTACAAGACCCCCCTTGAGTCACCATGAATCTAGACTAGAAGTGCGAACTTTTCTTGCACATATCCTCACCACCTGTCCGCACCCCTCACCTCCTGTCTGTCCGCACCCCTCACCACCTGTCTTTGATCAGCCCCTGCCTGTGTATGCCCTTGCTCCTCCACGCCTCCTTCCCCCTCCCCCTCTCCTTGCTTCCTGTCATCCCCACTCTTTCCCTCTCTTTCCTCACCTCATCTCCCCTTCCCCTCACTCCTGCTGCACGCGCTCTCCCCCTTTCCTTTTCCTCCTCCCCTTCCTCTCCCTCTTCTCCCACCTCTCCCTCGACACCTTCCGCTTCCACCTCTTCCTTTCTCTCCTTCTCTCGACCCCTTCTCTTATCATCACCCTCACTCCCCTCCACAACTGCACTCCCTACAGGCACCCACCCAGCTCCTTCCACACTCCCACTCTCTTCCCTCCCCCACCTGTCCACCCCCACCACCTTCCTATCTCCCTCATTCTTCCCTGTCCCCACTCCTCTCCCTACTCCTCTCCCCACTCCTCTCCCCACACCTCTACCAAGTCCTCTCTCCCCTCCTCTTCTCCCCACTTCCACATCCGTACCGTTGGAATTACCTCTACCACCACTCCCCACCGCTTGCCCATTTGCTCGCTTCCAAACGCTTGGAACCGCCCTTTTATCCCGAACCTCCTCCCTTCCCCACTCCTCTTCATCCTCCCCTCCTTCCTCATCCCCCTCGTCCTCCTCTTCCCACTCCTCATCCTCACTCTCCCACTCGCTCTCCTCCTCGCTCCCTCCACTCCCATACCCCCCCCTCTCCCCGCTCCCCACTTCCCCCCTCCTCATCCTCCTCCGCCCATCCTCCATAAGAACTCTCATCTCCTCTATAGCATCCGCCAGCTCGTCACTCATTATAAGCACCTCCCCTTCATAAGCCTCCCGCAGGAACACCGAATCCCGCACCCCTTTCACGGAAACATAAAAAACTTCCGGGTGCCGCAGCAGCAGCGCGTATATCCTCGCGGGCAGCAGAAAATCTTTTCGAAAGTGCGTCAGCTGGTCGATCAAACACCGCTTCTCCACGGTCAGCGAAAGAAATTCCCGAATCACGGCAACTGCACGCCTCTCCGCTTCCAGAGACTCAGGTGATATCCCAAGCTCGAGTGGGTTTGCATAAGGGGAGATGGGAGGGGAGGCATGGAACCTCTGTAGCCTGAGCAGGTCGGATTGCTTTAGCTTCAGACCCGGGGGCAGGTTGAGCTTCAAGCTCAGCCGAACGGCTTTCTTGTACCTCTCCTCCCGACTACTACTGCTGCTGCTGCTGCCGCCGCTGCCACCGCTGCCACCACTGCTTTTCTCCTCCTGCTCCGCACCGGTTTTCCCGGTGATATAAGCAGCGCGACTGGTCTCTGCCTTGTGCCGTCCCAACCCAATGGCTGCCTCTGCCAGCTGCTCAGGCGTCAGCGAGGGCTTGGGGGGAGGTAGATGTGTGTTTTGGGGCGCCTCAAAACTCATCTCTGCGCCTGGAGAGAGTGGGGTGATTGGAGCAACTAGGGTGGCTTGGTTTCGTTGGGGGGAATTGGATGGTGCCGGATTGCAGGACAGAACGGGACCCAGATGAGGCTTTCTGAAGGATGCCGTTCCTTCTGTCCCTTCTTCCTCTTGCTCCTCCTCTTCCCATCTCTCCTCGCCCCATTCCTCTCCTCCTCCCTGACTCTCCATCTCCTGTTTCTGTGACTGGTGCTTGCTGTCTTTGCGTTCACTATTCCTTTGGTGCCCATCTCCCCCTCCTCCCTCTCCTTCTCCCCCTCCTTCTCCCCACCCCTCTTCCCATCCCTCGTCCCATCCCTCTCCCCATCCTGTTCCCTGCCCCTCATGCCCGCCCCCCTCGCCTTTACTGCTACCCACACCAGACATTTCGAATCCCTCCCTACCGTCTTTCTCCTCTTCCTCCTCTTCCTCCTCCTCCTCCTTCTCGTCTTTCCCTTTCTTGGCCTCTCCCTCCGCCTCCTCACCCTCCTCACCCTTTTCCTTCTCTTTCTCCTCCTCTTCCTCCTCCTCTTCCTCCTCTTCCTCCTCCTCTTCCTCCTCCTCCTCCTCCTCCTCCTCTTTCTCCTCCTCCTTTCTCTTCTCCTCCCCAGTCTCCCCCTCCCCCTCGTTATCCCCATCCCCCAACACCCCTCCCACCCCTTCTCTCCTCACCATCCCTCCCTGCGTCCTCCCTCCCGCTGCTGCTGCCGCACCACCAGCACCACCATCCCCCCAACCACCAGGAGCAGACTCACCACCCCCATTCCTCCCACCACCACCACCATCAGCAGCAGAACCACCAGTACCACCAGTACCATCAACAAAACCAGCACCACCAGCACCAGCACTACCAGCAGCACCACGAGCAGCAGCAGCCGCAGCAGACACAGATGCGTAGGGAGTGCTTTTGATACTAGCAGCAGGGGAGGCAGCACCAGCAGCACCACCATCATAACCAGCAGAAGCGCCATTCTTGATACCATTCCCTCCCGCCCCACCCGCCACAGCCTCACCACCCTCTTCCCGAGCCTCTTCCCGAGCCTCTTCCCGAGCCTCTCTCCGAGCCTCGTCCAGCGCCTCTTCCCGAGCCATAGCTGCTGCTTCGTTCGCCTCAGCCACTGACAGAGCCAGGCGATCGTCCCACTGCTGCAGCACCAGCACCGGCCCCCCAGGGGTTACCCCCAGAGGGCCTGCCGGGGGAGTGGCTATTCTGAAGCGATCGGTGAAGCGCGGGAGGAAGGACTGGCAATGGAGGGGAGAGCACAGAGGGAGGGGAGAGGAGAGATGAGAGGTTGGGTGGGAAAGGGTAGACAAAAGTGGGGATTGAGTTGAGAAGGGAAAGCTCTGCTACAGACAAAGACAGGCGATCGTCCCACTGCTGCAGCACCAGCACCGGGCCCCCAGCAGCAGCAGGGGTACCTGGAGGGGCTGCTGGAGGGGTGGCTACTCTGAAGCGATCGGTGAAGCGCGGGAGGAACGACTGGGCGTGGAGCAGGGGAGAGGGGAGAGAAGAAAGAGGGGGTTGAGTTGGGAAGGGGAATTCTTCTGTCACTCGTCCCACTGCTGCAGCACCAGCACCGGCCCCCCAGCAGCAGCAGGGGCACCCGGAGGGGCTGCTGGAGGGGTGGCTACTCTGAAGCGATCGGAGAAGCGGGGGAGGAAGGACTGCAGGGGAGAAAGCATAGAGGGAAGAGGGGAGAGAGGAGAGGGGAGTGGTGGGGAAGGGGACAAGAAAGAGGGGTTCAGGCTGAGAAGAAAAAAACCTCTGCTACTGACAGAGCCAGGCGGTCGTCCCACTGCTGCAGCACCAGCACCGGCCCCCCAGCAGCACCAGCAGCAGCAGGGGTACCCGGAGGGGCTGCTGGAGGGGTGGCTACTCTGAAGCGATCGGTGAAGCGCGGGAGGAAGGACTGGGCGTGGAGGAGAGAGCACAGAGGGAGGGGAGAGAGCAAGGGGAGATAAAAAAGGGAGCCTCACCACCACCAGCATTTCCAGCCCTACCAGCAGCGGAAATCTTCTGCTACTGACAGCGCCAGGCGCTCGATCCACTGCTGCAGCACCAGCACCAGACACTGCAGCACCGGACACTGCAGCATCAGCAGCACACACTGGCAGCACCAGCACCGATCCACATTAGCAGTACTACCAGCCCTACGAGCAGCAGAAAGCATATGGCACTGAAAAAACCAGCAGAGCAAGGCTGAGGGATCTCACCATTTTGAAGTCATCTGCTCTAGCAGCAGAAAGCCTATGGCACTGCTAAGAGATAACCAACGTGCCCTAGCTTGTCGCATGAACAGCACTCACCGTTTTGAAGTCCTCTGGCAAACCAAGTTCCCTGCGCACATGGCCTATGCTCTCCACACTGAGGGACTGCGTTACTGACATCATGAGCAGCTTGCACAGCTGCAATGGTTGAAAAGAGGAGGCGAAAGGAAAAGGGGAGGGAGCAAAAAGGGTTGGTGGTGGGGGAAAAGGGGCGTTTCAAAGCATAGCAGTGCTCTCCACACTCAGGGATTGCGCTGCCGACTTTATCAGCAGCTTGCACAGCTGCAGCAGTTAAGAGACGATGTTGCCTGCACCCCTGTCGTGCCATGCACACACCCCACTGCACTGCACCACACCACATGCCGCCTCATCTCACCTCGCCTCATCTCATTTCACCGCACCACACCGCACCTTATCCACCAAGATGGGTTCCATGATGGCCCGCAGCTCCCTCTCCCGCGCATCCCTCCGTGCCGCCTCGGGAGTCAACTCAAACCAGATGTTGCCTGCACCCTTATCGTACACTCGGAATATTGAAGGAAATCTGATGTGTGTGGGGGATGGAAGGGCAGAGGGGAAGGGAAGAGAGGCATGCAGATCATTCATTCCCCCAAGCTCAAACCAAATGTTGCCCGCACCCTTATCGTACACTCGGAATATTGAGGGGAACCTGATGAAGTGGGAGTGGGGATGGGGACGGCAATAGTGCCAGGCAGAAGGGAAGGAGGGCGAGGAGCAGAAACTCAGAAGACAACTCAAACCAGATGTTGCCAGCACCCTTATCATACACTCGGAGTATTGAGGGGAATCTGATGGGCGTGGGAGCAGAGAGTGGGGGTGTTGTTGGGAGGGGAGGGTGGGAAGTGGGGGCCACGCATTCAGTCACTGAAGCCCAAACCAGATGTTGCTTGCACCCCTGTCATACACTAAGAATACTGAGGGGAATCTGTTGCGTTAGTGGTGGTGCTGCTGTTCCCACCCACTCACTCACTCACACTCACTCACTCACACTCACTCACTCACACGACCTCACTCACTCACCCACACACTCACACGCACGCACCTGCGAATGAGGGCCACGCATCTTCGCCCCCCAGACAGCCCAATCTTGCTCCGATGCTTCCCCAGCTCCTTGAGACTCATGCGCCCGCCCTCCTGCCAGTGACAAGGGGAATGTTGTTGACTCATTACGACTAGCAAGTCGGCTACAAAAAGGGACCTTTGAGACGTCTTAAACATCTTGCTCCGATGCTTCCCCAGCTCCTTGAGACTCATGCGCCCGCCCTCCTGCCAGTTGAAAGGAGAAATAAAAGCTTCACCCATTAGCGAGTCAATTCTATCCCCATACGGTCCCTGCGTGCGCTGCACGATGCGAAATGTTTTGAGTCAACTCAAAACAAGGAGAAATAAAGCTTCACCCATTAGCGAGTCAATTGTTTCCCCACAAACTCATCACACAGCTCCTGCGTGCGCTGCACGATGCAAAACTTCTTGTGTCTCAAACGGTCCTTGTATTACAAAATTACACAGATCCAGGGTTACAACAAATTAAACAGTAGTCAAAGCACTGTCCCAATCGCTGCTTAAGTCAAAGCGGTGTCCCAACCAAGCTTCCAACACCACAAACACCTTCCCCAGGCCAAACACCTTCCCCGGGCCAAACACCTTCCCCGGGCCAAACACCTTCCCCGGGCCAAACACCTTCCCCGGGCCAAACACCTTCCCCGGGCCAAACACCTTCCCCGGGCCAAACACCTTCCCCGGGCCAAACACCTTCCCCGGGCCAAACACCTTCCCCGGGCCAAATACCTTCCCCGGGCCAAACACCTTCCCCGGGCCAAACACCTTCCCCGGGCCAAACACCTTCCCCGGGCCAAACACCTTCCCCGGGCCAAACACCTTTCCCGGGCCAAACACCTTTCCCGGGCCAAACACCTTTCCCGGGCCAAACACCTTCCCCGGGCCAAACACCTTCCCCGGGCCAAACACCTTCCCCGGGCCAAACACCTTCCCCGGTCCAAACACCGCTTCAGGTGCAATGCACTCAAAGCGATGCCCTCAATTACACCACATTGACTGCTATTGACCCGCGTTGACTCTCATCTCACCTGTTTCCCCAGCAGCTCCTCTATGCGCTGCACGATCCGAAACTTCTTATTCCTCTCAATCACCGCCGCTTCCAGGCACAGATCCTTCTATCAACCAGCATCTACTGCCATTGACTGGCGTTGACTGGCTTTGACCGGCGGTTGACTGGCGTTGACTCACCTGTTTCCCCCGCAGCTCCTGTATTCGCTGCACGATGCGGAACTTCTTGTTCCTCTCTATCACCGCATCCAGCCACGGCTCCAATCGACCAGCATCTACTGCCCTGCCATTGACTGGCGTTGACTGGCTTTGACTGGCGGTTGACTGGCGTTGACTCACCTGTTTCCCCAGCAGCTCCTGTATTCTCTGCACGATGCGGAACTTCTTGTTCCTCTCAATCACCGCATCCAGCCTCGGCTCCTTCCGCCGCTTCACCTTGCACTCCACCACCCGCCGCTGCCGCGGCTGTTGATTAGTAAAAAGGGGGGAAGGGGGGACGGCGAACAAGGGATGGAGAGCAGGGGACGGGGAAGGGGAGGGTGCTTCTACCACCGCATCCAGCCTTGGCACCTTCCGCCGATTCACCTTGCACTCCACCACTCGCCGCTGCCGGGGATGATGGTTACAAAAGGGCAGGGGAGTGGGGGACAGGGAAAAAGGGACGGGGAGAAAACGGGGAGCAGGGGACAGGGAAGAAGAGGGTGCTTCTATCACCGCATCCAGCCTTGGCACCCGCCGCCGCTTCACCTTGCACTCCACCACTCGCCGCTGTCGGGGCTGGTGGATAGATTGACAAGAGAAAGGTGGGACGGATAAGGGGGAAGAGGGCGAGGAAGAGGGTGAGTCAGTCAACGCACAAGCCCCCCTGCGCCGCGTCACCTTGCACTCCACCACTCGTCACTGCCGGGGCTGGTGGATAGAGTGGTTGGGGAGGGAGTGGGGAGGGATGGGGAAGGGTGGGGAGAGGGATGGGGGAGGGTGGGAGGAAAGGGGGAAGGAAGTGGAAGGAAACGTGCCTTAGCCAACACTCGAGGCTCCATCAGCCGGGAAGGGAAGGGGAAGGCGAGGGTTCAGGGAAGGCCATGCACTAGTCGAATCCGACGGCTCGCGCTTTCCCGTCACCTTGCAATCAGCCGCACGTAGCTGCCAGGGTTGGAGGGTCAGCGGTCAGGATTCAGGGTTCAAGGTTTAAGCTGAATTTCTCATCCAGGAATTCATAGGAGCAGTTACTGCAGGGCAAGAGAAAGGAGACGCGGTTCCATCGTTCTATCACAGGCTGCTATCTGCTTCGAACCAAACCACGGCTGCGTTTCCCCATTCCCGCTGCCCCAACCTTCTCCCCGCAACCCGCGTGCCCCTTGCACGCTCGAGCGTGGAAAAAGCGGGGATCTCAAAGGGGCACGAAAAGGCGACAAAGCGCGGGTTCTAAGACATCAGTATAATCACGTGATCTGAATTGAACTCTGGCCTCTGACACGACTTGGTCTCATCCTCGCTTCGACGTTTGGTCCCTTTCTCGTTTCCAACCTCTTTACGCACGCCTCGTGGCCCAACGTTCGGTGGAACAACCTGCCTCTTTTCGCACAGCCAAAGCTCGGTGTAACATCCTACCACTTTTCGCACGCCTCCTCGCGGCGGCCGGTGATACGTCAGCGCGTCGCGCGACGAGTCGCCGCGCAGCAGACTGGACGATCCGAACGACATGCTTCTCGCCGTTGATCCGAACGGAGCGCCCGTCGCCGACGATCCGAACGACGCGCCTGCCGCCGACGATCCGAGCGACATGTGAAGAGTAGAACTACTCGTCGCACACCCTGTCGTCGCACAGCGCGTCGCCGAGAATGGACGGGCGACGATATGTCGTGACGCGTGGAACCCGCGCCGCGGAGCCTGATGCCAGCATGCGATCATAGCGGCCCTCCCGCCTCCTTTGCCGCCGTTTTTTCCGCAGCCGACAGTAAACCCTGTGCGCCCAGACGACCGATTTCCTATTGGCCCTCCGGGTGACGCATTTCCTATTGGCCCGTTCCCGCATCCCGAAAGTGTCGTGCCGCCGTGACTAGCGCACGGGAAAGCTACGCGAGCGATCGACATGGTAGTTAATCTCCTCGCGCCTCGATCGCCCCAGATCCGCGCGCTCGGCGACCTGCTGTGGCACTTGCCGCTGCAATTAACTACCCCGCCGCCTATTGCATAGAATCTATTGGTACGACTAGGCGCAGCCGTTCCGCGGATCGCGGCTGTTGTGAGGAGCGGCCGCCCCGCAGAAACTCCCACTCCGCCAGTGATCGCGCGTGGAAGCGCAGCTGGGGGAAAGGCGCACGGACAGGCGGGCATAGCGGGGGGGGAAGCGCACGGGCAGGGGGGAAGGATGGCGGCTGCCGGTGCCCGCCAGGCTGCGCGCCAAGTGGACGCAGGCAGAGAGGCGCGCGCAGCTGCGAAGCAGGCGGAGCAGCGCAGCAGGCGGGAGAGCGCAGAGGAACGAGCGGAAATCATTCAAGGAGACGGGATGGAGATCACTCTGTGAAGCCGACAAATACGGGGCGACTCACGCCCCAGTGTAACCTAGGGAAGAAAACCGAAGATAAACTAATGAAATGGACTGACTAATCACGGCGCATGCCTATGCATGTTTGATTAGACGTGTAGGATAATTCGAGGTGTCTACAAAGAAGAGACATGGCCTCCAAGCCAAGTAGTGCCTCCTAGGTTCAGGGATAACATCTCTGGTTCGACAAGTTGAGAGAGCCTTGAATCTCGGGGCTTCAATCTGAGCGTTGGTTTACTTGAAATGGACGAGTCTCCATGGCCTAGATACTGCCGTTAACATGGCTCCGGGCTCGAGGCTGAAGTAGAGCCTTGATCTCCTCAGAAGTGGGACCCTTGGCATCGTTTTAGCAGCAAGCCGTATTCGGTACTCCGAACGTTTGAGACTGCTCACGACATTATGCTGATTTGTGAGGATGGGTCTCAGAGTGTCAAAGCGTTTACTGTACGTTTCGACACCAGACCCGGGCGTCGGACAGAACCTCAGCTACACCACATGTTCCATGCCGAAACCTGCCGGAGTCAAAAATAGAGAACAGGTCCTTTGCCAGAGTGTCCAGGGCAATATCCGCCGAACCTAGACATTCGCGGTTTACCCCTCCACAAGCGAGCCGCGCCAGTAACCCAAACCTCCCCAACAATCTCAACTAGCCGTTGTATCAAAGCACAAAGCGCAATCGTGCAGTTCCGACCTATAACGCATACTTCATTATGAGCTAGAAACGCAAACCACTTCTATTGATACCTTAAACCAAAAACCGCACCCCCCTCTTTTCCGTAGCAGCAACTCATTGCTCCCAGTCACCAAGAAACCAACAAACCCCAGCAGTTTGTTACCCATAAATTTTTTTTTTCTAATATACATTAACAACCAATCCACAACCCATCGACCTGCTTCTAGCTAGAATTCTAAAGCACATGTAGACGTAGTACTCAGCCCTGTGTCACGAAGCAGGATTAGAACCCAAGATCGGCCAAATTATCCGTTGGGACTGCAAGCCCATCAAGGCCCCCAAGATCTTCCCCCATTAGCAGATCATCGTTTGGCAATCCCGCCAGCCATCCACCAAAGTCCTCCCCTTGCACCCCCAGCTCCGGCATCGCCGAACCAAACACCGAACCTGCCGCCAGGTTCTCCAGCTCCACCACCTGCTCCAGCTCCGGCTGCGGCGTCGTGGGCATGGTGTTCCGGTTCGGATCCAAATCCGGGAACTCATCCGCCGAGGCCTTTCTCTTGCCCGACTTTCCCGGACCAACTCCCGAACCTCTCGACCGTTTCCCCAAGGGAATACCATGCGTGAGGCTCGACCCAGGCGCGAAAAAATCCCCCGGAGAAGACCCAGGAGGCTTGGAGTCAAAATCTCCTGCTCCCTCCCACCCAGAAGCAGCAGCAGCAGCACCATCAAGAGCCCCTGCATCATGCCCAGGCGGGGTAGCAACAGGGGGGGTTCCAGCCTGCGCCCCTGCCCCTCTCTGCCCTCCCCCCACCCGGTGCTGCCGCGACCGTCCCTTCTTCCTCTCCCCTCCCCCTCCCCCTCCCCCTGCCCCTCCCCCTCCCTCCCCTCCCCCAGCAAGGCTCGACCGGGCACCAGTGGGGGTGGCCCCTGCTGTCCCCGCCTCGCCTGTGCGACGGGCAGGGGAACCCCCTTTGGTGAAGTCCAAATTGTCCCGGTCTGTTCTTTTCCGTTTGATGTTCCCTGGGAGAAGAGGCACCGGGCCCCCACTAACCCCGCCCCCTGCTGCCCCCCCTGCTGCTCCTGCTCCTGAAAGCCCTCCTCTAGACGCCCCTCCAGCTCCTCCTGCTGCTGCTGCTGCTGAAGCGCCTGCAACCCTAGCACCACCAGCACGAGCACCAATGGCATCACTCGGACTACCACCGCCAGCACCAAACACATCTTCCAGTCGAGCGGTTCTCTCCTTGTGTCTGAAAGACCCTTCCAAAGCCTCCCCGCCTGCTCCTGCCATTGCTCCCATGCGCTCGCCCCTGCTCTCGCTTCGCCGTAAGTTTGTGCGTGAGTGTGGCTCTGGTGGGGATATGCAGGGAGAGGGAAAGGAGGATACTGAGAAAGGGGTGAAATACCAGCACCACCAGCAGCACCACCAGCAGCACCAGCGCCACCAGCACCAAACACGTCTTCCAGTTAACTCGAAAGTCAACTTAACTCGAAAGTCACCTTAGCTTAGAAGTCACCTTAACTCAATAGTCACTTCAACTCAAAAGCCAGCTCGACTCACAGCTGACCTCTTTTCACTCAATCTAAAAGTCACTCTGCCATGCACCTTCTCTGAGGCTGTCATAAGGAGACGAATAATAAGGCGCCTCAAAAGTCCTATCTTCAGTCAATCCAAAAGTTACTCAGCTATGCACCTTCCCTAAGGCTGTCATAAGGGGAACCAGCAATTAGCATTGACCAGACTACCTGCCTCTGAATCTCGCGCACACGTTTGATTTCACATTCAGTCAGAAGCTGCCTCAACTCACAAGCCACCTCACCTGCCCTCAGCTCAACACGCACCTTCCCTGAAGCTGTCACAAGGCGACCCAGCAATGAGCATCGATGCCACCAGACTATCTGCCTCTGCCTCTCCTAGTTAACTTATAAGTCAACCTAGAACGCACCTCGACCCAAAATCAGCAACACACCTTCTCTAAAGCTGTCACACGGCGAACCAGCAATGAGCATGGATGCCACCAGACTGTCTGTCTCTGCTTCTTGCACACCCCCTGCTGCCCCTCCTGCACCACCCTCTTCACCACCAGCACCTCGCAGGGGGCTCAGGCCTGCAATCTCCAACGCTGGAGATTCCCCTCCCAGGACGTTCTCATTCGCACCCGTACCACCAGCAGCAGTAGGTGCTGCAGTGGTGGCGGCAGTGGGAGCGAAGGAGAGGGGGATGGGTGGGCGGGGTGGGGACGGGGGGAAGAGTGCGAGTCTCTGCCGGTTGAACAGGGCGAGGAGGCTAGGGGCAGAGGCGCCTGCTCCAGATAAACCTGCACCAGAACCGTCCAAACCACCTGCACCAGCACCACCAGCATCAGCAGCACCAGCAGCAGCACTAGCAGCAGCACCAGCAGCGGCACTAGGTGTTCCCCCTGGTGTGGTTACCACACCAGAACTCCTTCCCACTCCTCCCAATCCAGGCGTTCCCACACCGCCAGGCCCGGGCGTCCACGGCAGCGGGCTCGGCTCGGCGAGCAGGCTCGGCGAGGGCTGCAAGTCCGGGTGCACGCGCTGCAGGTGCGGCAGCAGCGTGCCGGCGTGCCATTGGTCGGCGCGCTGTAAGGCTCGGCGCACAAAGTGGACGGCAGACTGGCGCGCGAGCTTGAGAGAGGAGCCAGCGCCCTTGGTGATTGTGCCTGCTGCTCCCGCCATTTTGAGACCCTGAGGAGCAGGGGGGTGTGGGGGGAGGGGGGGGGGTTGAGTGGGGTGAGCAGGAGTGATTCAACAAAGTGGACGGCAGACTGGCGGGCGAGCTTGAGAGACGAGCCCGCTCCTTTCGTAATCGTGCCTGCTGCCCCTGCCATCTTGAGACCCTGAGGAGCAGTGGGCGGGAGGTGGGGAGGGGAAGCCGGAGTGGTTTAACAGGTGTCCTCCCTTCCTGCCCGCCTGCCTGCCACTCCTGGGTGCTCTGACCATCCTTTTAGGAGCCAGCCGGTGTGGTAGTTTTACAGGAGCACAGGAGTCTCCTTGGTACGTTGCAAGGCTCGCCAGTCTGCCGGCGCACAAAGTGGACGGCAGACTGGCGGGCGAGCTTGAAAAATGATCCCGCGCCCTTGGTGATGGTGCCTGCTGCCCCTACCATCTTGACACCCTGGGGAGCAGGGGGTTGGGGGGGGTTGAGTGGGGTGAGCAGGAGTGGTTCAACAAAGTGGACGGCAGACTGGCGGGCGAGCTGGAGGGAGGAGCCCGCCCCCTTGGTGATAGTGCCCGCTGCTCCCGCCATCTTGAGACCCTGGAGGGGAGAGCAGCGGGAGAGGAGGGAGGGAGGTAGGTGGAAAGGGGGGTTTGTTTTGTTACAGGCCGAGCCAGAGTGGTTTACCAAGAAGCACCACTGCTCTTCCTGCCAACCACTCAGTGTGCTGCAGAGCGCGGCGCACAAAGTGGACGGCAGACTAGCGGGCGAGCTTGAGGGAGGAGCCCGCCTCCTTGGTGATGGTGCCCGCTGCTCCCGCCATCTTGAGACCCTGGACGGGGGAGCAGGGAAGTGGTGAGGTGTAGTGTGGTGTACTGGGGTATGGTCTGGTGTGGTGTGGTGTACTGTGGTGTGATGGGGTGTGCGTACCGTTCTTCTGGCATAGGCCATTTCCAGCAGCCTATCCACCACCAGCTTCTCACAGCTCCTGCCAGCACCGCACCGCACAGCACCACACAGAACAGCACAACACAGAGACGAATCAGTTGGGTGGTGAATCAGGTGAGACGAATGAGCAGGGGTTTCATGAGCATTGATGAAACCGGAAGGCTGGACTTTGTACTTTTTCCGTCATCGAACAAGAAAGCAGCCAAAAAGTTTTACACAAACAGCTTCTCACAGCCAAATAGGCTGACCATTTCTGGATTTGCTCCCACCCACAGCAGACCCCTCCCTCCCTTCACCCTTCACCCACCTTTCCTCCTCCAGTCGCCGTGATGCCACCACCTCTTCTAAATACGCTGCCTTGTGCTGGTTGTGCTGCGCCTGGGGGCAGAAGGAAGGTGGGGAGGGAGCAGGAGGGGAAGGGCGGGGAGAATAAGGGAAAGCGCAGTGAGGCATGCCTCCAGTCGCCGTGATGCCACCACCTCTTCTAAATACGCTGCCTTGTGCTGGTTGTGCTGCGCCTGGGGGCATACAGAAGGGGAGAGACGGGGCAGAGAGAAGGAACGGTAGAGGAAGGGAAGGCGCAGTGAGGCAGGCCGTCCCAGCAAGAACGCCCCCAGCCATCCTGATGCCACCCCCTCTTCCAAATATGTCGCCTTGTGCTGGTTGTGCTGCGCTGGGGGTCAAGGGAAGTTGGGGAAGGAGCAAGAGAGAAACGGATAGGACAATAAGCACGCCTCCAGTCGTCGTGACGCCACCATCTCTTCCAAGTACGCTGCCTTGTGCTGGTTGTGCTGCGCCTGGGGGTAGCAAGCAGGAGAGAGGAGGAGTGCAAGAACAAGCACAAGCTGTTCCAGCTGGGAATGCGAGAGGAAGGACAGCTCATTTCCGCATCCAGCTCTCCTTGACTAACCTTGACTCACCTTGACTGAAGTTGACCCACCGTGACTAGCATTGAACCATCTCGACGCGCTCTCCCCCCGGCTTGCACCCGTAACGCTCTCACCTTGGCCTGCAGTCGTCTGTGGGACATGCGAAGGCTGGTGCTGATCTCATCGTGTTGCTTTGACCCAACTTGACTCGCCTTGACTCATATTGACTGTCTCTCACCACGGCCTTGCTTTGTGTCGCTCTCACCTTGGCTTGCAGTCGCCTGCGGGACATGCGGAGGTGGGTGCTTCTCTGATCGTATCGTCTTGACTCAACTTGACCCTCTCTCTCACCACGGCCTTGCTTTGTGTCGCTCTCACCTTGGCCTGTAGTCGTCTGTGCGACATGCGAAGGCTGGCGCTGATCTCATCGTCCTGCCGCTGCGACTCCTGTAGCTGGTAGCGGGGAGGGGAGGTGCGGGAGGGGGTATGGGAAGTGGGAAGGGGATCGGGATGAGGAGTGGGACATGCCAAGGCTGGCGCTAATTTCATCGTCCTGCCGCTGCGAAATATGCAGCTGGGGGGGGGGAATGGGGGAGGAGTGGGGGGAACCGGGGGCGAAGGGTGAGGAGAAGGGGGGGAAGGGGGGAGGGATGGGGATGGGGATGGGGATGGGGATGGGGATAGGGACCCTCACTCACCCCATGCACGCGCAGCAGGCCCACATGAGCAGCTCCAGTCACCCTTGCTTCCAGCCCCAATGAGGATGAGGATGGAAACAAGGTGAGACCATCTCTAACCCCATGCCCACTCTTACTGCATTCCCCGCATGCACTCTCGCTTACCACATGCCTTACTTACCCCACCATCCACCCTTCTTACCCCATTGACTCGCAGCAGGCCCACATGAGCCAACTCCAGCCGCACCCTTGCTTCCAGCCCCATCCCTCTCCACTCCTCCGCACTCAGCGGCGCCCCTCCCCCACTCCCCCTCTCTCCGCCTCCCCCTCCCAACAGCCCTCCCCCTGGCCCCCTCCCCCCCTCCATGTGCCCCCATATCTGCCCACTGTTAGGCTGCCAGCTGTCCAATTGGCCGCTTTTGATTCGACCAAAATCAACCTGCCCCCATGGGTGCGACAGTAATGAAGGGCCCCGAAGCACGTTCCCAGAAAGAGCTGCATCAGATAACACCTCCCCTTCTGGAGGTAACACCCATTCCACCTCCCCTCCTCCATTCCCCTCCACCATCCCTCCTTTCTTCTCCCTCTTCCCGCCTGCTGCCGCCCCCCCATTCCCTCCATCCCCATTCTCCAAAATACCTCTCAAAAACCCCTCCTCGTCCTCCTCTCCTTCATCCTTTGCACTTCCTCTCTCCCCTTCCCCTCTCCTTTCACCGTCCCCTTCCTTTTCCTCCTCCTCCTCCTCCTCCTCCTCCTCGTCCTCCTCTTCCTCATCCTTACACTCCCCTCCTTCACTCCCACCCTCCTTCCCCCCGCCCTGCCTCGGGCAATCAATCAAAGCAGACAGCAACCTATGCACCATCGATTCTCCCACCACTCCTCCCCACTCCCTCCCACCCCCTCCTGAACCATCCAAACCTCCTCCCGCCCCTTCTAGCCCCCCTGCGGGCGAGCGGTTACCACCAGCAGGCGTTACAGCCATGAGCGACGGGAGAGCATGCAGAACACCAGAGGGGTGAGACTCTGAGCCTCCCATAAAAAACCCCACCACATTCCCGTTCCCATTCCTGTTGCTGTGGCCGTTGCTGTTGCCGTTACCAGCATCACCGGCTGGGATGCCGGTGGTGGGATCTGTATGCCCGTCTGCTCTTGCACCTGCTGCTCCCTCTGTTGCTCCAGACTGCAAAAGTAGTGGGATGGAGCGGGAAAGGGGTTGAGCGGGAAAGGGGTTGATGAGTGGAATAGCAAGTGGGATGCCAGTGTTGGGATCTGTCTGTGTGCCCGTCTGCTCTTGCACCTGCTGCTCCCTCTGTTGCTCCAGACTGCACAAGCATTGGGATGGAGACGGAAGAAAACAAATAGGGTTGAGATTGCGAGGGAAGAAACGGATAAGGGCAGGAACACACCATCGACTCAGTCTTGCAGAATGCTCAGTCTAGACCGGGGAACAGAACGCACTGCAGTGCTTTTGGGAATACTCCAACATAACGAGATGACTTTTGAGTCCTGTGACATTGCATCGAGATGGCTATTGGGTCGACTCAAAAAATACTTCCGCACAGAGAAGGCAAAGGACTTCACTGCCTTTGAGAAATATCCAGTGAGATTCTCGAGAGTTCTCAAAACATAACTCAGGAGTTTTGAGTCATCGTCATCACCTGGAGAGCTCTGAGTTCATCAATCTACTCACCATCTGCCTCAATCTCACGAGGTCTTCTCGAGTAGGGAAGTGGAAGAATGGCTCCACGGCCTTTGAGAATCCTCAAAGCCACATCCAACATCATAACCCATCTTCACCTGGAGAGCTCTGAATTCATCAATCTACTCACCATCTGCCTCAGTCTCGCGAGGTCCTCTGGAGCAGGGAAGTGGAAGAAAGGCTCCACGGCCTTCCAGAAGGGGCTGGACGCAGCTGCGGCTGCAGGCAGGGGATAGGGTTGGGGGGGGGGAGCGAAGGGAGGACGCGATGAGTCAGTGGTGCTGACTTCAATGGTGTTGAAAAAATTATTCAAGGGCAGTGGAAGAATGGCTCCACGACCTTCCAGAAGGGGCTGGACGCCGCTGCAGCTGCAAGTTCGGCGAGCGGAAGATTAAGATTGGAAGGGGGGAAAAGGGAGGAGGACAATGAGCCAGTGCTGTTGACTTCAATGGGGGTTTGGACTAAAGGGCGATGAGTCTAAGTTGTGCCACAATACTCATGCAAGGGAAAGTGGAAAAACGGCTCAACACTTTTCCAGAGCGGAGGGGGGGGAGGAGGAGCGAGGGAAGGAGGAGGATGAGTCAGTAGGCTCGGATTCTTCACTTCACGGCATCGCCACAAGGGACCAGGCGCAGCTGCAGCTGCAGGCGCGGGTACGGTGCGAGGAAGGGGGGTAAGGGGAGGGAGGAGGGAAAAGGCACCACTCTCCGGGCCAAGAGTTTTGCAATTGGAACACTTGAGACCAATAACCTCAAGAAGAGCCTCGATTGGAACAAGCCTCAATGCATGCGGGCAGCCCTCACCTCCTGTGTTCATGGCTGCCTGAATGGCATTCGATAGCTCCTCCGCATCATCGTCCGAGTCGCCTGATGATAGCGGGAAAACGAGCATGGGAATAATATCGCCAACAACCAGTGATAACAATGATCAGAACAGGAAAACAAAAAAACACACACACACACACAAAAATACTTGCAAGAGCGGATTTTTCTTCTAGCAAGAGTCCTAGCCACAGGGAGATGTGATGTGAGCATGCGAGCTGGCAGCACTCAAATGCAGCTCAGCACCAAGCAAAAAGACAAAAAAAAAAAAATATGCTAAATAACCTATCAAAAGCATATTGCTGTTTCGACTCGACAAACATCGCACTCAGCTGAGAGAAAGAACTATTGTTTCTTTTATGGCGACTAGAAAATCCTCACCTAAGAGAAACACTTACCGGATTCCTCCATTGGGCTGTCTGCATGCATGCGCCTCTGCACCCTGTTGGCTGCATTGCGCCTGTCGATTCTGCCGCCCCTGGTTGGGATAAAGGGGAAGAGAAGAGAGGGTGAAGGAAGCGCGGAGGGAGGAGAGGTTGCAGGGCAACGGAGGGAAACACGCCTCTGAACCTTGTTGGCTGAATTGCGCCTGTCGATCCTGCCGCCCCTGGTTGTAATCAAACGGAAGAGAAGAGAGAGTGAAGGACGCGCGGAGGGAGGAGAGGTTACACGGGGAGGGAGGGAAACACGCCTCTGCACCCTGTTGGCCGCATTGCGCCTGTCAATCCTGCCACCCCTGGTTGGGGGTCAAAGGGAAGAGAATAGAAGGTGAAGGAAGCGCGGAGGGAGGGAGGGAGGGAGGGAGGGGAGGTTACCAGGGAGGGAGGAAAATATGCCTCTCTCTGCACCCTGTTGGCCGCATTGCGCCTGTCAATCCTGCCACCCCTGGTTGGGATCAAAGGAAGAGATGAGAGGGTGAAGGAAGCGCGAAAGGGAGGGAGGGAGGGGAGGTTACCAGGGAGGGAGGAAAATATGCCTCTCTCTGCACCCTGTTGGCCGCATTGCGCCTGTCAATCCTGCCACCCCTGGTTGGGGGTCAAAGGGAAGAGAAGAGAGAGTGATGGAAGCACAGGAGGGGGAGAGGGGAGGCTATACGGGCTGGAGGGAAAGAGCACGCATGTGCGTCTGCACTTTGTTGGCCCTGCGCCTGTCGATCCTGTATGTGACTGACTCAGTACCCCATGGTTAGGGTTATTGACTGGAACGTTTAAAAGAACTGGCTGACTCAGTACCCCCTGAAACCCTGGTTACAGTTGTTGACTGAAACGTCTAAAAGAACTGGCTGACTCAGCACCCCCTGGCCCATGTTGTCCAATCCCAAGCGAGACGTGCGAATCTGCTTTCGAAATGCCTCAAAGCTCTACTTTTGAGACATCTCAGAGATAATACAGCATAAGAGCCTCACCTCTCGCCTTTGTCCAATCCCAGGCGAGACGTGCGAATCTGCTTCACATTATTCGCCACCCCAACCACACCTCCTGCACCACCACCACCACTCCCACCACCGCCACTGCCCCCTCCACCCGCAGCAGAGGCAGCACCACCAGTGCCACTGCCCTGCAACCCACCATCGTCCGCCCCTTCACTCCCCACGCTAGACACAGCTTCTTTCTTCAATCTCAGCGCCCCTGCCGCCACTAATCTCCCCGTCCTCCCCTGTCTCCTCACCCCATCCGCCCCTCCCCCCGCTCCCCCTGCTCCCCCTCCCCCACCTCCCCCTTCCTCCTTCACTATACCCCCTCCTCCCTCTGCTTTCTCTCTCACTCTCCCCAGCTTGCCCTTTTTGTCTTTTCTCCGCACCTTAGCCAATCCTGTGCCTCGAGACTGGACCTCCGACAAACCCCCCGCCTCCCCTCCCGCCCCTCCCCCTGCTCCCCCCAAGCTCTCCCCCGCGCCCCCCAAAAGCCCCCCCACACTCCCACTCTCAGCAGGCCAAAGCCCCCCCCCGTCCCGCCCACCCCCTCCCCCTTCCCCATCCATCTCCTCCCCCCCATACCCCTCCTCGTCCCCCTCCCCACCCCCCTCACTCACCCCCACAGACCCTAACGGGGACATAGCCATACCTAAACCACCTCCCACCCCCCCTCCCCCCTCCCCCTCCTCCCCCTACTGCTGCTGCTGCGCCAATGCCCCCTGACCCTCCCCCTCCCCCTCCCCCTGCCCCAGCTGCTTTATGCAGCTTGCCCGGCTTTCTCCCCCTGCTAGTAGGGGGAAGCCCGGACTGATTCCCCTGCTGATGGTGCTGCTGCTGCTGCTGGTGGTGGTGATGCGGCTGGTGCTGCTGATCCCACAGTCCAGACCCATCCCCCCCCCCATCCCTCTCAGACTGCACGGAGTGAGCAGGGGAAGCAGCACGAGCACCAAACGCCCCTTTCCTCTCTGCTGCTCCCCCTCCCACCTTTCTCACAGCCGCTCCTCCTCCCCCACCTCCCCCTGCTGCGCCTGCGTTTCCCGCTCCGCCCGCGCCTGCCTTATCCCCTCCGCCCAGCGTCCTAGGACCGCGGGTTGCTCGCCCTTTAGTGATCCCCGCCCCCCCTCCCCCTCCCCCTCCGCCTCCGCTACTCTTGGGCGCATTCTCTTCCCCCTGAAGCGGGCTTCCAGGCACAGAAGAGCCCCCCCCGCCTCCCCCTCCCCCTCCCCCTCCCCCCCCCTGCTCCCCCGCCACTCCCCCCAACTCGCATGGTACCGAACCTCCCACTGGCATCTCTTGTCTGGTGCAACCCTATCCCCTTGCCCGCCTGTCCCTTTGGCCCGCTGTCACTACCTCCTCCGCCTCCCCCATCACCTGCTCCCGCCCTGCTTCCAGACGTCACCCCATGCACAGGTCCGGCTCGGAACACCGAGCCTGACCCCGGACCTGCTGCCGAGCCTCCAGGCTTGTGCGAGGAGCTCGATAGAGACCGCTTGAGCCCACCCCCTGCGCCTGTTGCTGCAGCTGAAGCACCACCACCACTACCACCACCACCAGCGGCAGCACCGGTACCAGTCCCAGCAGCAAGAGAGTCTGTTACTACGCCGTTGACAATCCCTCCTGCTGCAGTTGCAGTCCCAGCAGCATCCGCCTTGGGCCGAGATCGCTTTCCTTTCATCTTCCTGTGCTGCTGCCCCTCGTGACTGCTTGCCCCTGCTGCTGCTCCTGCTGCTCCTGCTGCCGCACCGGCTCCTGCGAGGTGCTTTTGATCCGGGGGGGTTTCGTGGTTCGACTGGTGGTGGAATGGAAAGGAGGTGGGGCGAACAGATGGGAGGAGGGAGAAGAGAAAGGAAACCTTGGGAGGATGACGACAAAACTGTTGAATAGACTCCGTGGTTGAATGAATGAAAGAACAAACAAACAACTGAGGAGGAGAGTGGGAAGACGGAGAGGAATGGGGACAAAGAAGAGGAAAACAGAATTTAGAAAAGTGTTGTGGATTGGGGACAGGGGATAGATTGGACGGAACGCACACTGGACTGGAAGGCATGCTTCCGACAAGAAAAGGTGCAAGACAAGAATCAAAAGCGGCACAAAGATAAGAACGGAGAAAGGGCAGAAAGGGCAGAAAGGATACGGCAGAAAGGGCAGGTGGCACGTAGGGAAAGGATACGGTTCAGCAGCGCAGAACGCAGGAGTACGAATGAATTGCTGACACGGAAATGGGCTCAGTAGTGGACAACGGGGTCAACGGGAGTCAACGGGGGTCAAAGGGGTCATTGAAAGTCAATGGGAGTCAACCGGAGTCAACGGGAGTCAATGGCCCCGTTAATGGAGGCAACGCACCAGTGTGCGCGCATGCCGGCCCGCCCCACCCCCAGCTTTCGAGTGCCCCGCCCCTGTCCGCCCCCCTCCACCTCCTCCACCTCCTCCTCCCCCACCAGCAACCCCTCCCGCCCCTACTCCCGCACCACCACCACCATCACCAGCGCTCCCACTGCTTCGGCTGTTATCCCCCGGCATCCCAGCAGCCCCACTAGCGCCACCAGCGCTGGCAGCACCGCCGCCAGCAGTGGCGTTGGCTCCATCGCTCCTGCCCGCGCGCCTCCTCATGCTCACACCGTTGAGCCACGTGTCCAGACGTGATAGGGCGTCCTGCAGATGGCGTGTCCGATCCCTGGAGGAGAAAGAGAATGGGAACAAGGGGGGAGCGGGAGCGCGGAGAGGGAGGAGAGAGGGAAAGAGACGGAAGGAGTGCAGCGTGGGAGGGATTTGGCAAAAACTCTGTCTGAAAAATGTCGACGAAGTGCATGAGAGATCTGCCAGAATAGGCTGAAGCTCAGCTGTTGAAAGAGGCCAATCGAACGGCAGCAGCAGCAAAAGCAGCAGCGGAGGCAACAGCAACAGCAACAGCAGCAACGCCGCCAGCAGCAGTAGCAGCAGCAGCACTGGAAGGAGCAAGAGGAGGACGAAAAGGAGGAATCTTACTTGCAGCTACCAATAATAAAGCGGAGCCAAGATGAAGCATTCACAGAAATGGTGTAAGTGAATAGCACAGAACGCAATGTGACAGTACCGAGCGAGGATAACTACTTCACCCTCATTATGAGCACCAATCCCATGGTGGTGAGCAACGAAATCAGGCACTCCCAAGAGAACCAATGTGACTGTATTGAACACTCTCTCACCCGAACATAACCGATGAGATTGCATAAAAAAACACACCCCCCCCCCAACCCCCCTCCCCTCATATCATATAGTACCAAATGCCTCACCTTGCACGATCTCGACCATCCCTCAGCGCCGCCACCATCCTCTTCCGCTCCTCCCCCGTTACAGTCACAACAGGCAAGCCTCCCGCTGCCGCCTGTTCCGCTCCCCCTTCCCCCAGTCCCCCCGCAGCTCCCCCCGAGGCTCCTTCCCGCGCCTTCCCCACTGCGGAATCCAGCTCCGCGTGTTTCCCGAACCGTAGTTCCCCCGTAGAAAGCTCTTCTAGCGACAGAATGCGCGCGAGAGACGATTCCCCACGAGAGGCGGAACCTCCGCCAGCGGTGGAGCCTCCCCCGGCGGCGGACGCTCCCCCAGCAACGCCTTTCCCCGCGAAACCCGCACCGGTTGCGCCAGCGGAACCGCCCGTGCCGACTCCGCCTCCCCCGGGTTTCCCCTCGTCCGCAAATTCCGCGGAAACCATTAACCCCACTGGTCGACCCGATAGGCCAGGACCGTCCTGGCCGGCTGGCCGATCGTTACTGGTGTCTAGAAACCCTTGATCGCCGGGCTGCGGTTGCTGCTGACCTGGCAGCGACGAATGTGGCTGTTGCTGACCTGGCACTTGGTCGGTGGCAGGCCAGCCTGATGCAAAGCCACCACCCTCCTGGTCTTGCAAGTAGTCGTATTGGCGATCCATGGATTTGGCTACGAATCCTAACATACGCGTTACAGAATACCGTAAGCGAGATAAGGGTATTTTGATTCGGCTCGCGTTAGCGGACACGGACCGGCGACAATGGTGTCTTCACCAGACACTTGAAAAGAAGCGGTAGTCAGTGTGACGGTGATGCAAGCGTTCTAAAGCTTGAGGGCTTGCAAGCCGGTCGCAAGACGCGAGAATAAATGATGAGAGACTATAATAGTGGATGTAACTATCGAAACGACTGGCAATGGCATAGCAAGGCGCGTCGCGCAGCCATGGCGGGAAGATTGATTGGGTGGATGCTGTCTGACTCGAAACCCTAAACTGATGACTCAGATTGAAAGTGAAAGTAGCTGCGAGCCACAACTCTATACTCGCTATTGGAAGCAGTGTCTAAGCACCCATATTCATATTGGACTCTACGATTATAGATCCGCTAAATGCATAAGTGAAGAAGCCCAAGCAATCTAAGTTGTAACAAAATGTGCGATATAGAGAAATTTTTAATTATTTAGATGTATTTATGACTGCATTATGCCATGAATTTGACTGGGATTTGGGTAACTGTACTTAACAGATTATCTTGTTATCTGCATTAGATGAGCATTCCTCAATATAGTTCTGACAACTGCATACTTGCATGTTTTAGCACCAGTTGAAACTCGCTAGCGAGTCGCGAATTGACGACATTCATGAAGCGATCCGCGTTCCATCCAGACCCAATGGAGACCAGCCAGTTCTGGGAGGCCTGACGGCTGGCTGCCTAGCACCAATGAAAAGGAGCTGCTCCCTGAAGCAGGGGTCCTTTTTCGAGCCAATCGAGGCCCGAACTGGCCAGGTAGGCGAATGTATGTCCAGTCCAGGGTGATGGAGCCACCAACACTTCCTCCCCAATCCCATGCAATCACCTCTTTTCGCTCGCAGGAATTTTAGACTTCGACACAACCCACACACAGACGCTGTAGGGCGGAGCATCTCGTCATGGCAGCTGCGAAGTGGTTATGCTTCGTTTGCTGCATGTGGATTCTTTCCACAGCAGGAACGTCTGGAACATTCGCCATTTACTCACCCGTCCTGAAAGCCGTAGCAGGTTATGATCAGAAGCACATTCAAGCGCTAGCCGTTGCCAAGGATGTTGGAGAAAGTGTCGGTTTAGTTGCGGGTATCTTGTGCGACTGGCTACCAGGATGGCTTATGCTTCTGGTTGGTGCACTGCACTATTTGACTGGATTTGGTGGTCTATGGCTCGTAGCTTCGCAGCGCATTCAGCCGCTACCATTCTGGCAGGTGAGTCCACTATTGACGCCGCATTCGCGGCGAATAGGATTTCTTTGACTTCTTGAAATATTCTCGAGGCCGATCCTTACGCATTTCTTTCACAGATGTGCTCTTTGATTCTAGTTGGAGCTCAAGGGACCGCTTGGTTTAACACAGCAGCTCTTGTGACCTGCATACGCAATTCCCCGAGATCGCGAGGACCAGTTGTTGGAGTCCTGAAAGGACTGGTTGGCCTTTCGAATGCCATTATTTCTCAAGCTTACTCAGCTTTTCTAGCTCCGAATCAACCGTCGTTTCTCTTGGTCCTTGCCGTCGTGCCTTTGGCAGTTGCCGTTCCAACCATGAGCTTTGTCAGGTATACTGTTTTTGTTTCGTATGGCAGTTCATAATGTGGATCAAAGCCTTAATCGCGTAATTGTGCAGGTCAGAAAACCGGGTCTTGGACGACGATATTGAGGAGAAAAGGAGTTTCGAGAAAGTCGTCATGTCCTGCACGGGCCTGGCTTGTTACCTTCTTGTTGCAATCTTCGTTGAAGATCAGATGGAACTAACATCTCAGGTTCGTTGAGGCAAGGTCAGGTGTTGCCAACGTTTCAGGTGCGTTGATGCGATTTTTAACTTATATATGCTTTGATAAGCTTCACTTGTCCATTTTGGGCAGATCCGGGCGTGGATTTTTGCTGGAATGCTGTTCTTTCTGGTTACACCTTTGGCTGTCCCGGCTGCCCACTTCTTTGAAGAGCTTCACCTTAATTTTATTCATACTTCAAGAAGAGATGAAAAGTACGATGGAGAGGTGGATGTGAGAGAGGCTGACGATCAACTTCAACCCCTTATCCATCGAGTGTTAAGCACAGACTCCATATTTTCCGACTTCAGTCCATGTGAGACACCAGCTGACGATGGCAAAGAAAACCAGCCTCTTCATTGCGTGAGTTCACAGCGTCATTGACGTCTGATACGGATGTTAAGTGATTCGCTTCTAGTTGATTCCAGTTTATAATGGTTATCTTGTTTATTTGATGCAGAGTCCACATGCTCAATTGAGTTCCGGAATGAATGATCAGGAGTCAGGGGACTTAAGCCACTCTCAAAAAAATTTTTTGGTGCCTGACCAGGAGAGGATTAGCAACTCTTACCCAGTCCTGGATGCTCATCATAGGGGGCTGGACGAAGCTGTTCACAGACAGTTAAACAGGAGGAGGAGTTCCCAGATCCTCTTAGCAGTGGGAGAAGGTGCTGTACGGACGAGAAGGAAGGGGCCGAGACGTGGTGAAGACTTCACACTCGTTGAAGCTCTCCGAAAGGCTGATTTTTGGCTCCTCGTGTTCTCGTACATTTGTGGCTGTGGATCTGGGTTGACTGCAATCAACAACTTGGCACAAATGGCATCCTCTCAGGGCTATGGCCGGGTGCAACTGTTTGTGTCGCTGGTTAGCGTGTGGAACTTTATCGGTCGCCTCGCAGGAGGTTATTGCTCGGAGCATTTGGTCAAGTGAGTGCTTGAACACCTGATAATGATTTTGTTCATTGTACTGTGTCATATTCACATTTCATACTTGTGGCATGCAGGACTTATCTCCTTCCAAGGCCACTGCTGCTTCTTGTGGCACAGCTTGTTATGTCAGCTGGTCATGCCATCTACGCCATAGCCTTCCCGTACTCTTTGCACATCGCCTCACTCATAGTCGGGCTTTGCTATGGTGTTCACTGGTCTGTGATGCCGGCAACCGTGAGTGAGCTCTTTGGCCTGAAGAATTTTGGCCTAATATTCAATGCAGTGGCGGCTGCTACTCCAATCGGTTCGTACTTGTTCTCAAGCCTGATCGCCGGGTACCTTTACGACTACGAGGCGCGCAAGGGTAATGATATGGGGAATTCCTGGCAACAATTACTGGTGCAGGCATTCAGCTCATGGAGGCTTGATTCGTCAGAGCTCTCTGAGTGCATTGGGACCCATTGCTTCCGGCTAACTTTCACAATCATGATGGGGGTCTGCTGGATCGGAGCAGCGTTCACTGGAATTCTAGTATGGCGTACCACCCGTGTTTATGTGGCTTTGTACAGAAAAGGGGGGTCCTTTCATAAGCTATGAGGTTTTCTCTGAATGTTTCTTATTTTTGCCTTATGTACGGTACATCATAGTGGCCTCATCATCATGCATCAGGGAAGAAAGCATGCTGGATAAAAAGAAACATCTACGGTATCACATCACAGCACAATCCACATTAATTTATGTAATTTCTTCGCAGCCATGGCACCGCTGTTGTCTGTTCTTGCTGCAGAAGTTGCTTATTGCCAGCAATATGGCCGTTTCCACACTTATTGTTGCCTTCATAGAGTCCATCTCTATGGCCAAAGGTACCTGGGCTGGTGGAACTCTTAGTTCTGCCACCCATGAACCCATTATGGTTCCCTTTAGCTAGGACAATCTCAGCAGCTCGATTACTGCTCCCTGGTTTGTCGCAGCTCACAACTCCCTGCGATCCGATTGCCAGTGGCAAAACAGGTGCTGGTCTGGAGCATATCAAAGCAAAAGAAAAAAAGGGTACAACCAGGTATTCAGCAACGGCAGCCACTTGAATAGAGTTTGTGCAGAGAACCAAATGACCGTCCACTTACACCAGTGCAGAGGCATCGCCAGCTTGTTCACTGTTATACGCCAAGGAGACGCTTGGTGAAGGTGTTAGGCCATCAGCGCTGGACATTCCTGGGCTCTGAGACTTTGAAGATGAAGAGGGCGTTACATCATTTTGCAGGTTTAGTAGGGCTGCATCACGCTTGATTTCATCCAATGTTTTTCCAGCCATTAGCTGGTAATGTTCAGAAAGATGAGGCCCGGCACGGAAAGAGAGGACATGTGAATCAGTAAGTTGAAAACGTAACCATGCTGTGGCAAGTGCGGCTGAAAAGAACGCATACAAGTCAGTTTGTAAACGACAGCGGCTCGTACCTTTCGGTAGGGCCATCTGGAAACGCCGTTTTCACGGCATACCCTCTTCAAAGTAACATTGCTTACACCTGTACAGAAACATGTCAGGACGTTGACGACGTCCACCCGACCGTACAACCACTGGGGAATATCGGACGGCACGGTGACGGAACCATGACGCGTAAAACATATTACACCCTGATTTGATTAATAAACCGGTGCGGGTAGATTCACCGACCGAGTCGTGCAGCAGCTTCAAGGACTGGGAGGTTAAAATGCCTCTCTACGTCCTCATAACTGATCTGCTCCCGAATGTGTTTTGTCATAGTTAGAGAACAACGTTTCCGACCAATATCCTGTGATCAACGGCGACTCGCATAAAGAGATCGTTGTATGCCTGTGAAAGATGGTTGGGAAGTGCAAGTAAAAAACTACGCAGGTCATGGCCTAATAGTGATTGGTAAGCTGGCATGCCATTGGCTTTGTACGCGATAAATGTAGTCGCTCCTTGTGTACGATGGGGGGATGACTGTGCATTTTCAAATATTTGGATGCGTTTCAACCTTTTTTCTCCATCCACACCACTTTGTGTAATAGAAAACTCCTGTTTTGAGTCGCAATTCACTGGCTTGAACGTTCTACCGCCCACGTTGGCGACTCAAGTCGTCGCCCAACCGCTGCAAACACCTGCGGAACCAGCTAGTGTCAGCGTACCTTTGCGTATCCCTCGTTTCGGAAAATAGTAGGAAGCACGGATCAGAAGAATGTCGAAGCGCGAGCGAGAAGAGCAGTTGACGTATGAGGAGGTTTCTAAGCACTTCGCGTCGACGCTTGTCGACGCATCGGCTCGTCTGGGTGCGTTCCCGCTGGCGTTCTTGCATTAAAATTAGAAAACAGAACCAGAAAGCCTTTTCCCTCTCCCTTCGCGAGTCAACTCGAAGGTTAAGTTTTAGAGACAAAAAAAGGGAAGAAAATTGGCTTAAGAAACGTCGTGCACTGTGCATGGAGTAATAAGAAAATTGGCTTAAGAAAATTGGCTTAAGAAAGGCTAGTCACGCATCATCATACCCGTCAACAATAATCCTTTCTGCAGAAGTCCTCCCTAGGTGGGATATGGATATTTTCCCGATTCCGTCCTCAAAGTTCAGCAAACCCTCCCCTCCCTCCCTCCCCCCCACCCCCTCCCTTTCCCGCCCCCCCTTCCTCTCTTACCCCTCTTCCCGTCCCAATCTTTTAGGTGTGAGCACTGCTATTCTGAAGAAGATATGCCGCGAAAACGGCATACCCAAGTGGCCCTTCCGAAAAGTAAGCCATTCTCCTTCCTTTCACAATTGCAGTTTTTTTTTTTTCTTTCTTTCTTTGTGGAAGGGGGGTGTATTTTTCTCCTTCTCCTGTTTTTTAGTACTGTCGGTGAACCCCTCTTTTCCTCTTTCGTTTGCTCTGCACTGTTCCTCCCCACCCCCCACCCCCAAGCGCAGATCACATCAGGCATGACAATTGAGGAGATCAAGCGAAACGCAGCAGAAGCCCTAGCAGAAGAGCAAGCAGCCGGCACAACCACCGGCACCACCAGCAGCACCGGAGACACATCTCCCCACTCCTCCTCCCCCACTCCCCCTCCAGCATCCTCCTCCGCTCATTCCCACCACCCCTCCCACCTCTCGCCCGCTCCCCAGTCCCCCTCCACCGCCCACCTCTCACCCGCTCCCAAATTCCTCCCCACTGCCCATCTCTCCGCGGCCTCACCTACCCTGCAGCACGCCCTTTCACCAGCTATGCACGCTCCTTCGTCCCATCCCTCTCATCCCTCCCATGCTCCGTCTCCCGCCCAAGCCTCCTCCTCTCTGCCCTCGCTCACCCCATTGCTGTCAGGAGCAGGGCCGGGCATGCAGGTTCCAGTGGGTGTTTCTCCCTATGCTGTCAGGACACCCGCTGCTGCTCTCCCTTCCACTGCAGCTGCTGCTGCCTCTCCTGCCAGTGCAGCCGCTGCTGCTGCGAGTGCTGCGTGAGTATCTCTTGACTTCACTTTGTTGTACACTTGCGTGGAGTATCCTGCTTGAGTTTTTTTTTTTCTTCTTCTTCTTTTTGTTATTAAGCATTGTCAGGGTTGCCTCTGTAATTGTTATAGTTATTACTGTTGATATTGTAATCACTGTCATTAAGTTATCGTTCTTTTTTTTTTTTCTTTTTGTTATCATCATCATGATAATAATTTTCCTCCCACTTGTTCCTTGCATGTTTCTGTTTTTCCCAATCCACAGGCGACTGCCATCCGCCCAAACATCGAATCTATCCCTGCAACAGCATTTGCAGTACCAGCAGCAGCAGCAACAGCAGCAACAGCAACAGCAGCAGATGCTGCTGCAACAGCAGCGCCAGTTAATTCTCCAGCAGCAGCAGCAGCCGATTCCCCCTCACCTGCTGCAGCATCACCAGCAGTTCCAGCTACAGCAGCAGCGGCTTCAGATGATGCAACAACAACAGCAACAGCAGCAGCAGCAGCAACAGCAGCAACAGCAGCAGCAGCAGACTTCACAAGCAGCAGGATCAGGAGCAGGCGGGGAAAGCGAAGTAGCAGGAGGGACAGGAGCAGGCAGAGGAGCAGGAAGGGGAGCAGGCAGAGGAGCAGGGGTTGGGGTAAGCAGGGGAATAAAAGCACCGGCAGGACGGGGCAGAGGAGGAAGAGCAACGGTAGGGAAAGGAAGGGGAGATGGAGCAACAGCAGCAGCAGAAGCTCAGAACCCACCGGATTCTTCCCTAGCCCCTTCTCCTGCTCTCATCACAACTCCTCCTGCCGTTCCTCCTCAGCGCCTTACCCCTCCTCCTCCTGCCCCTGCTGTTGCTGCGGCTGCGGTTGCTTCAAATCCCCGTGCCTCGTCTCCTGCACCCGCACCCGCACCTGCTTCTGCTCCTGCTGCTGCCGCTATTGGTGCTGCTGCTACCCCTGCTACTCCTGCTGCTGCTGCAACTGCTGCAGAGGCTAGTGCTACAGGTGCCGCTGTTGCTCCTGCTGCTGCTGCTGCTACTGCTGCTGCTGCTGGTTCTACCTTGGGAGTATCCAGGTCGCACCTAACACCTCCAGGGGCGGTATCAGCAGCAGGACGGACTGGAGCTTATGCAACAGCAATGGGAGCTGGCCGGCTTGTTTCGGCGCTTCCTCCCGTCCCAGTGTCTTTTACAATGGTGCCGCACGGAGCAGCGGCAGCAGGAGGTGGGGGAGGAGGAGGAGGAGCAGCAGCAGGAGCGCCAGCACCAGGTGCAGCGATAGGGACAGTGGCGCCGGCTGTAGCAGGAGCTGTATCAGCAATGGGAAGAGGGTCAGGGGTAGGGGCAGGCAGAGGTGGGGGAGGGGGAGGTAGAGGAAGAGAGGGAGCAGCAGCACCACCAGCTGCAGCAGCACCAGTAGTGCCAGTTGCACCAGCAGCCGCAACAGCACCAGTTGCAGCAGCAGCAGTACCACCAGCAGCAGCAGTTACCATGGGTGGTGGTGCTGTTGACAGGAAGGGTCAAGCTGTCGTAGCAAACGTGGGTGCCAACTTCCGTCCTGTTCTGATCAAGGGGCCAGCAGCAACAGCTGCTGCTACTTCTGCTACTACCACTGGTGTGACTGTCACCACTGCTCCTCGTGCTGCTTCTGCTGCAGCTGCTGCTGCTCCCGCTGTTCCTGCTGCTGCTCCTCCTGCTCTCTCCCGCATCACCACCACCATGACCCCACCAGCAGCAGTTTCTACACCAAATGCTCTTGCAGCTGACACTGATATCGAGGAGTATTATAACGAGGATGATGCCACTGCAGCGGCCACTCTAGCAGCAGCCGCCTCCGCCACCGCAGCAGCAAGGGCAGGGAGAGTGAGAGGAAAAGTCCCAAGTGCTTTTGACCTGGCGCTGTCTTTACCTCTGCAAAACCCCCCGGCCTTCCCCTTCCCGTTCCCCCTGCCACTGGCACAGCGTCATGACACCAGGGCCCTGAAACAGCTATCTGCCCCTGTTGTGAGATCACCAGAACAGCATCAGGGCCGGGCTGCTGAGCTTCATGCTTCTGCTACTGGTGGAGATGCTGTGAAGGTTGAAGCTTCAGATAGTGTGGGTGTTGCTGCTAGAGCTGGAGCTTCAGCAGGCAGGGGAGAGAAAGTGACAGGCAGTGCTGCTGCAGATGCACAGGGGATAGTCAAGAGAGAAACGGTTTCAGCCGCTGCAGCAGCAGTTCGAGCTGCAGCAGCAGGAGCAGCAGGGGTGGTGGATGGGGAGGGAGAGGTGAGGTCGGGTGTGCTGATGCAGTTTAGAGAGGGTTTTCCCACTGATGGCTTGCCGTGGGACGCTCTTAGGTGGTGGGATGGACAGGCAGGAGGAGGTGTGGGAGGAGTGGGAAGAGATGGAGAGATGGGAGGAGGGGGTTTAGTTGGCAAGGGTGACAGGGAAATTGGGGGGGATGAGGGTGGTGCATCGACGGTTGTTGTGCTGGGTCATGGGATAGGAAACAAGGAAAGGGTGGGAGAGGAAGGCAGTCATTTGGATGAGGTGGATGAGGAGGAGAAAGAGAGAAAGGAGATGGGTGAAGAGAGGGAAAGAGGAAATCTTGAGGAGGAGAAAGAACAGGAGGAGGAAATGCGGAAGGAGGAGGCGACAAGGAAGGAGGAGGATAAGGGGAGGGAGCAAACGGGGAAAGCGGATGAGGGGCAGAGAGAGAAGCAGGAGGGGCAGAGAGGGAAGCAGGAGGGGCAGAGTGGGAAGCAGGAGGGGCAGAGTGGGAAGCAGGAGGGGCCGAGGAAGAGGAAGCGGGAGGAGAGCACACTAGAGATGGCGGAGAGGCTGGTGGGAATGCACCGGGCAGCCGTGGGGAGGGCGAGGCTGGGCAGGCAGAGTGCAGTGGCTGGGGGGTATGCAAGCCCCGCCAGTGGTGCTGACCTGGCTGTGCTGTCGTTTGTGTTCGGGGCTTACACTCCCCGGCAATGGTGCTGTGATGGTTAACTATGTGGTGGGAAGAGCCAACAACAGGCAGGCAGAGTGGGCTGGCAGTGGGTTTGCAAGCCCTGCGAGTGGCGGTGATCTCGCTGTGCTGTCGTTTGTGTTCGGGGCTTCTCCCCGCCAGTGGTTCTGTGATGGGTAGGCACGGCAGGCACCTGGGTCTAGCAGAGGCTGGGCAGGCAGAGTGCAGTGCCACGGGGGTATGCAAGCCCTGCGAGTGGTGCTGACCTGGCTGTGCTGTCGTTTGTGTTGGGTGGTTACATGCCCCGCCAGTGGTGCTATGATGGGTGGGCATGTTCATGTAGTCACTGCGATTTTTCTAAACATGCCGAACCAATCCAGTGTTCCTGCTATGACGAAGGGGCTGCTCTGCTTTGTTACTCCTCCTGAAAGGTTTTGCTGAGCTCAACAGCTTTCGAGTAGGGCTTATTGTCAGGTAGCCTTTGCTTGGGGAGGGTTATGCTGCACCGCGCTGAATCGCGTTGCACGGTGCAGATGGACACTTGTGCCGCACTCAGCCCTGCAAGCCTGGAATATTTATTTCAGCATCACTTTATGCTTCAAGACAAAAAGAGCCCAAGTAAAACACCCTGGTATCAGGTACCGTAGATTGTCTGTGTTCACGGTATACAAACAAATGTATGGCAGTCAATGAACGTGACAAGTGCCAGTACCATCCAGATATCCCAGTCATTCCAGAATGTGATTCAGCAGAAGATTCCCCTGCTTCAGCACTGACTGGTACTGTGCATGGTTTGCTAAGTTGCTTGTTTGGATATCTACAATTTGTGGTACCGTAGCACAACAAGCACACATCAAATCACACATCAATCACCCGTGACAGCTTCTGAATGCGATTCAGCAGCAGATCACCCTGCTTCAGCACCGACTGGTATTGAGCGTTGCGCGCGTCTGGCCGGTTGGTCTCAAGCACCCCTGCCACCTTGTCTATCTTGCAGTTGAGGCGGCCACTGGCAATGAACAGTGACAGCTCGCTGGAGAGGCATGGGGTAATTGCGGAAGAAGAAGCGGAAGTGGGGCAGGAAGGGAGAGGGGAAGTGGGATTGGGACGGGGAGAGGGACAAGGACAGTCAGGACCTCACTTTTTGGATCCACCAGTCCATGCAGTCAACCCAGCAGTCAATGCACCTGTCAATGAAGTCAACGCACCAGTACAAGCAAGTCAACCCAACAGTCAACGCAGTCAAAGCCCACCTGTCAATGAAGTCGAGGGACACCCCGAAGCTCCGTGCCATGGCGTCAGCAGTGACGCTCTTCTAGCTCTCCAGGAACTGCGAGTACGCCATCGCTCGCACCTTTTGCCCTTCTTAAACCTCCAGCAGTGCCGGTCAATGCAGACAACCCACCAGTCAACCCAAGTCAACCAAAGTCAGCTCACCTGTCGATAAAGTCAAGCGAGACACCAAAGCTGCGCGCCATGGCGTCGGCAGTGACGCTCTTGTAGCTCTCCAGGAACTGCGAGTATGCCACCACTCGCACCTCCCTCAGGATGAAGCGCATGTGCGGGTGCAGGTAGCGGTCCTGCCTTATGGGCTCCGTCAGACCCGCTGCAAAAGGGAATGGAGGGGAAAGAAGGGGATGTAAGAGTCTCTAAGAGGAGCTTTTGATGGAGAGTCTCTCCCTCAGGATGAAGCGCATGTGCGGGTGCAGGTAGCGGTCCTGCCTTATGGGCTCCGTCAGACCGGCTGGGAAGGGGACAGAGAAAAGGAGGGAAAAGGGAAGGGGTGCAAGAGTCTCTCCCTCAGGATGAAGCGCATGTGTGGGTGCAGAAAACGGTCCTGCCTTATGGGCTCCGTTAGACCGGCTGAAGGAGGAAGGAGGGAGAGAGGGGGTGGGGGAAGAAAGGGGGATATAAATGTTCCTCCCTCAGGATGAAGCGCATGTGCGGGTGCAGGTAGCGGTCCTGCCTTATGGGCTCCGTCAGACCCGCTGCAAAAGGGAATGGAGGGGAAAGAAGGGGATGTAAGAGTCTCTAAGAGGAGCTTTTGATGGAGAGTCTCTCCCTCAGGATGAAGCGCATGTGTGGGTGCAGGTAGCGGTCCTGCCTTATGGGCTCTATTAGGCCAGCTGGGAGGGAGGAGGTGTTGAAACGGAACAGAGGGAAAAGGGGTGCTTCTTGAGAATTGTCAAACAGAGGGAAAAGGGGTGCTTCTTGAGAATTGTCAAACAGAGGGAAAAGGGGTGCAAGCGTCTCTTCCTCGGGATGAAGCGCATGTGCGGATGGAGGTAATGGCTCTGCCTTATGGGCTTCGAGGTGACTTTTGAGTCGACTCAAAAGTCACCTCATGTGCGGATGAAGGTAATGGCCCTGCCTTATGGGCTCCGACAGTCCGGCTGGGGTGGAGGGAAGGAGGGGGGAAAGAAAGGGACACGAAGGGAGAGGACTTTTGAGTCGACTCGGGAGTCACCTGGGGTGCAGGGAGGGAGGAGGGGGGGAGAAAGGGGACATGGAGGGTGCTCAATCAGGATGAAGCGCGGGTGAGGGTGCAGAGAGCGGCCCTGCCTTATGGGCTCAGTCAAACCCGCTGGGAATGGGGAGTGTGTGCAAGGGGGAAACAAAGGGGGAAAGGCGGATAGGTCTAGGGGTTTACACACCCACACACCCACACACCCACACACCCACACACCCACACACCCACACACCCACACACCCACATAGCCACACACCCACACACCCACACACCCACACACCCACACACCCACACACCCACACACCCACACACCCACACACCCACACACCCACACACCCACACACCCACACACCCACATAGCCACACACCCACACACCCACAGCCACCCCCCAAACACACACAGCCACACCCCACACGCATGTGACTCACAGAATGCGCGGAAGAATGCCTTGTAGTCGCACGCATGCAGGTTGTTCAGGAAGGGCCCCAGGTGGTTGGAGGTTCCAGGATTACGCGTCTAGAATCACCCATAAAACCCACACATGTGACTCACAGAATGCGCGGAAGAATGCTTTGTAGTCGCATGCATGCAGGTTGTTGACAAAGGGCCCCAGGTGGGGGATCTGATCAATGACTGTTAGGATCTCTGGGGCGTCTATGACCTGAGCGGCAGATGGGAGGGGGGGGAGGATGGGTTGTGGGGGGGAGGTGGAGGAGAAGAGCAACACACATGAAACAAAGGGCCCAAGGTGGGGGATCTGATCAATGACTGAGGATCTCTGGGGCGTCAATGACCTGGTGGGAGGAGGGGAGTAGGGTAAGAAAAAGAACAAACGTCAGCTGGAGGATATGGTTGATGAGTGTGAGTGAGGATCTGACGAGCGTCAAAGATTCGGACAGAGGGGATTGCCACCACACTCAGGATGACGGTGTAGAAGGCGAGGGAGCGGTACGGCAGCAGCTCGTAGGTGGTGAAGGTGGCGATGGCTGGCTGGCTAGCTGGCAGACACACAAGCTGACCTGCCTCTTGACCCGCAACCCACCCACCTTCTGCTGGACGTACCTTCTGTTTGAGCGCCACTCGGTCAAGCGCGACAACGCTCAGAATGACAGTGTAGAATACGAGAGAGCGGTACGGCAGCAGCTCGTATGTGGTGAAGGTGGCGATGGCTCGCAGAAACAGGTCTGCTGCTCGGGAGAAGTTGCGAGAGGCGAGACAATACAAGCCCTCGTACACCTTGAGGCGGTTCTTGCGCTCCCAGTCCCCCCCTTCTTCCAGCAACCTGAGGAAAGATCGCAGTGGCAGAGCAGGAGGGAGGAGGGAACAGAGACGCTATAAGTCGCCAGGCAGTACAAGCCCTCGTACACCTTGAGCCGGTTCTTGCGCTCCCAGTCGCCCCCTTCCAGCAACCTGAAAAAAGAAACGGGGAGGGGTCACGGTAAGGGTGAAGGTGGCGATGGCTCGCAGAAACAGGTCTGCTGCTCGGGAGAAGTTGCGGGACGCCAGGCAGTAGAGCCCCTCATACACCTTCAGCCGGTTCTTGCGCTCCCAGTCTCCCCCTTTGCTCGCAAAGTGTAACCCTAAGCCACCACTCAATCCTCAAGTGCACCCCACATCGACTCACTTCTTGGCCTTATCGATTTGACGAGAGCTCTCTATCAACTCACTCCCTATCCACTCACTTCTTGGCCTTATCAAGGTTGGAGGAGATGAGCGGGAAGTCCAGGTGGAAGAATGCGACTGCCTATAGTGCCCGCACTTTCAACCCCAACCCACCACTCACTCCACAAGTGCACTCCCTACCCACTCACTTCTTGGCCTTGTCAAGGTTGGAGGAGATGAGTGGGAAGTCGAGATAGAAGAAGGCGACTCTCAGAGCGTGGAACACGAGGTCCATTTTGAGCCCGACAGCCACTGTCTTGGCCTTGGTAGCCTCGAGTTGAGCCAGGGCTTTGTCCTGTGTGGGAAAGAGGGAGGAAAGGGGGAGAGGGGAGAGCAGTAAGCGGGAAGTTGAGGTGGAAGAATATCACGCTCAGCATGTGGAACACGAGGTCCATCTTCAGCCCCCACAGCGACCGATTTTCCCTTGGTGGCCTCCAGCTGTGCCAGGGCCTTGTCCTGCAGAGGGGCGGAGAGGGGAAAACGGGGCAGGGAGCGCGTGAAACACAAGGTCCATTTTGAGCCCCACAGGCTCCTCTCCAGACTCCCATTCCTTGGCATTGGATGCTTTCAGTTGTGCCAGGGCCTTGTTCTGTATAAGCAGGTGGCGGGAAAGAGAAGGAGGGTGGACGTGGGAGGGACGGTGGGACGTTGAGGTGGACTATGACAACTAATCAGTCTACGACTCCGGTTCGGGCGACAAGGAGGAACATTCCCAAACGAAAGTGAAAAGATTGACGAAATGTTGACCAGATAGTGATTGGGGCAGATCATTGATCCTTTCTTAGCTAGGACACGGAGAGCAAGAGCTGGAAAAGGATCAGTTGTGCTGCCCCAATCACCAACTGAATGACATTCCGTCATATTCTTTGTTTCCGCCTTGGAACGTCCCTCTTCGTCGCCCGAACCAC